TTAAAAATATAATTTTTATTTAAAAATCATAATTCAAGAGTAATCTTTTCAATTTTTAGACAAAAGATTGTAGTTATTTCAATTACTTATTTTAAAATTTCAAAATTTTATTAAAGAAGTATGTTAAATATTTACTTTGATTATGTTTTCCCACTCTGACCTTACATTTTAAGCGCGTCAAATTCGATCATCAAGGGGCTGTGTTTCTCGCGATTGACTTACATTTGTTCAAAGTTAAATGGGTCGAAAGCACTTCATTGTGAAAAAAATTCTCGAAAATGTTCCACCAAATCAGTTTATACCGAGACCATATTATGTGAGCTTTTCAAATATAAATATACTTATGAAAGAATTTTTTACTATTTAATTAATATATTTATCTTAGCTTGATCTCTTAGACGCAGTGGCTGAGCGAAATTCAATAATATGCAAAGATAAGGATATTACGCTTCAATTCGTGATCCAGTCACTCTATAGAGATATTGCATCCAAGAATCCTAAAAAGTGCATGCTCGTCCTAATACCTGAACGTAATTTGATTGATGAATCAGCCAAAATATTCCAATATACTACGGATGCCAATGTTTTTATCGCAGACATTGCCTCCACAAACGTTCCTGAGAATGCCGATGCCGTTTTCATGTCATCAGAAACTGCATCAAAATTATGTACTGGGGTTGCTCCTGCATTTTCAATTTCAGAGGTAAGGGTACGTTATTCATCCTTAATATTATCTTTCAGAGAGTATCATTCTTAGTTTTGGATGACTGTGATCTAGTTTTGAAGTCTGACCATTTATATTATACTCTATTTCCTGCTGTTAAGTATGAGTTAACTGAAGAGGAGGTTAATGCAATTTGGGACAGACCAGCAGAGTTCTACTCCTCTGTTACCCCTTATCGAATTCTTGGTTTGACATCGAAAATCCTGCCCGACGGATGCTCAGACCATATTCTTGCTAAACGTTACATTTGTTCCTTGGAGTATCGTCTCAATTGCCGTTTAGAAACCACTTCAGAATTGAATAATGTCCTCTCTTTTGGTGCTCAACCCGAAGAGTTGGAAATTTGCACTCAAGCTCCTTCAGAAAATGGCTCCGATCAGCATCCCATCTGTGGAACTGTCTTGAAACTCTTACAAGAAGCTCATGACTTTCTTAGCGATCTGGATTTTACAGGTACTGAAGCGAACGTCTCTACAGGTGGAGAGCGTATAATAAACGTTCCCTACTACTGTCTTCGAGCAGTCGCCCAATGTGAGTCCATAACAAGGGAGTTGGGGGTCTACTGTGGTGCTATAATCGCCAGGGTCTTTCTTAGACACTTATATCGACTTGAAAGGGCTCGAGCTGCTACGTTGGAATGCAAGAATCAGCTGGAGCATGGAGAGGATCTACTCACACGTATCCTACGTTATACTGCAACACAACTCTCCATGGTGGCTAGGTTATTTCAGGTTGTCAGTGAAAAGTGAGCATTATTTGGAAATTGTTTATATTATTATGAATATTCCCTTAATTTCCTATTGAGCTTCGTTAATTTACGCCGTGAATTAGAAACTCATTGTGACTCAAACGGTTTGATAGGTGTTTACAGATAATAACATTAGGCGTTGAATTTTTTTACTAATATTTATGTTTGCGGCCGTCAAGTTGAATAAAATTTTTACACAAAAAGCAATTTATTTTATCTTTTTATTATGCCGCTTCTTCGAAGTTACTTGCTTGATGTCTCAATTTTCCTAGTAAATTTTCCCATTGAAATTTTTCTTCATCTCTCAAATGTTCAAGAAAAGTACTTCAAACGGTTGTTATGGCCAGAAGAGTGGCCTCCCTCAGCTTCCTTGTTGGAAACCCACATTTTGCTATACCTCTCTTGATCTATGCAATCTAGCGTGATCAATCATTTCGTTTACTTAACTTTCTTCGATGAATTTTGAACCCTTGTTCTTTGACCTGATAGGTGTTGAAGTGAATCACTCCGGCGTCGTGAGTTCACAAAAATTTCTTTCTGGAGGAACAGTTTTGTGCTAATTGATGACTACAGGTACGTCTGAGGGAATTCTGTCCACACCATCAGCCTCGAGATGAACTTTATGGCAAACTAACAAAATCTGATTGAAACAAATAGGTGTAGTAGAATGGTAGTACAATTTTAGCATTCTCATGGCCAATGTTCGAATTAAACCTCAAGTGGATAAATATTTGAATCGGCGTCTTCCCTGTGATACCTCTTTTTGGGGTTCTATTTTCGTTAAAAGTGGTGAATCTCTTCGAACTTTTCATTCATTCCGAAAACTGATTTGCTATTTATGGTTGAAATAATAAAATATTTCATCTGCAATTCAAAATAACTCGGGGTTCCAAACGCTTCCAGCAAAGAGATCTACTTTAATTTATTCTCTGCCATAAAAAAAGAAATATTTTTGCTCTTTTCGATAAAGTGGAAGTTTTAAGAGTGTTGTATTTATTCTAACAAGGTTCATTTCCTTTTCTTCCAATACCACTTGTTATGGAAGCCATACTATTTCACGAAATGTTTATTTCGACTTTTGTCGGATGCTGATTTTAACTCTTACTTTATTATTATCCTATTATAAGACAATTTTCGATTTATTCTGTATATCCTCATTTTAAGAATGTCAATTGCTTAATTGTACGTACTCACCCATGTCTGCATTTATTTCGCGTACCGATGCTTCATACTATTAACTTTCGAGATTATGAAAAAAAAATAATATATTTGTAACGTCGTGTATTCCAAATCTTATTAACGATACTGTATGTTTAAATCAATATATTGTAATACTAAGGACTTTCATGAATCGCATTTGGAATCGGTCAATAGGGTTTAGCTATGGTCTTGCCGTGAATATAACAAGGTTTTATCATTTGTTTGAGTACTTACTAAGGCTTACTTTTTAGCTCTTTTCCGGGAAGAGAATTGATATTAAAGTTAATTACACTTTGTTCTAATCTCCCTTCCAAAACAACGATCCACTTAATTTTTCACAGTAGGAATTGGACAATGTGACGCACACGCTTTCAATTCAGGTACATTGAAGATGGGGATCTGGGTTATTTTATGATTTTTTTTCATTCTACTATTCCTCCGCGCATTTTTTATGTTTTTCCTTCAAATGTTATGGTAATGAAAGCATTTCCTCTTCATTCTGAAATTTTGCACTTGTCGAAATGGTTCCTTCTTTTCTACAATTATTCTCATTCTTATGTTACAGGTTTACTGTTAAGCCAAACATCCTGAGAATTCCCCATCGTTTGCATTTATCAGTGTCTTCAGTGACGGGCATTTAGAGATCGATGCTCATCTCTCCTAAACCATTGGTATCCTTGCCCAAATACACTGGCTAATTGTGATCAATATGTATCATGTTGTACCGCCATATACTCTAGAGGGGTTTCAGCCTACGTAATCTCTACTTAAGTGAAGTCATGTAAGCGACTTTCTACAATATGATTGAGGAGTGCACGTAGGAAGGTCATATCCTAGAAGTACCTCCACTGTGGTCATTAGTAATCTTGACTTGGCATGCGCATTTTAGATATTAGTTGGTTGGTGCTGGCTTGAGAGAGAGAGAGACAGACGTCTAATATATACCCATTTCTTAGTAAACTTAGTGTATATTATACTAATTGGACGGCTGCGACAAATGCGAAATAGTTTGGAGAACAAGTTGGAAGATTTGATCCATGCTCTCCGGAATAACTAGTCATTCGATTCTCAGTTACAACTGTTTCAAATGATTTTTTTGAAGAGGCTTCTACCGAATCCTCTATATATATATACACTAAGAGTTTCGTTCCGATATGTTGAGTTTCAAATATAATTTACCTTTATAAAACCTAAAACAGCTGAAAATATGGCACTTGGAGGCATTATTGTTGATTGTTTTCAAAAACATTGCTCTTCCTAACAATCTCTCATATTACCCTTAGTTGCATTGCCAAGGAAGAGGTTCGAACACTAGCCTCACCACGTGTTTGCCAGCTAATAGATCACTTGCGCACCGTAAAGCCCACAGGCACCTATCGTATTGAAGCAGTTCGACAAATTGAGACCACTAGTGGAGTTGAGGACTCTGACGACCTCGAAAATTCAGACGGAGACTCAGATACTAGTAGTCGGAGTAGCGTTCGCTCTACATCTGTTCGTTCAAGGAGTGGGCGTAGAGGACGTCGAAAAAGTTCTGAAGGATTTGTTGCTCCCCATGGCTTTGAAGATGATGACGGATTTTCTAAACAGCAATCGGACAGTGATGATGACTCCTTCTCTTCCACATTTTCCCCATCGAATACTGATTCTGACGATGAGAGCGCGAGCAATACAGGTCGAGGGAGTGAACCAGAGGATGAAATGGGAAGCGAAAGTGGAGCGGAGAGTGATGTTACTGATGTCTCAATGTAAGTAGTCTCGATCACAGGGCCAATGTCTAACGGTGCACAATCATCGATAGCCATGATTAACTGCACTGGCCTATATGGGGGTGGGGGGGTGGGGGGTGGGGGTGGGAGGGATGGAGAAAGGGAAAATAGGAGTTTCTTTCTCCTCCTCGCTTAGATATTAGCTTTACTTACAGCATTTTGATAGGTTGAACTTCTTCCTGATGATTTTGAAATTCCATCAAGTGGACGCATACTTTATATTTGCATAAAATTTCGAGATAATCATGTGTTTTCGTATGTATACTAATGGTGTTCGGGAATAAGCTTGACACACTTATCACGAAAAACAAATTGGTTGGTAAATACAAAATATTATTGGTTCCGAGGAGCATTCGATAGACGGGAAAACCACACTTTTCCCTCTAAAAATGCGAGAGGGAGGCCACACACCTGCGTGACTCGATGAGTGTCTTTTTGGTCTGTATGCAATTCAAGCCATATGCTACTCTGTATGCCGTGGTTTTGCTCTTGGCATTTGCTTGCGCTTCAGGAGGATGTTTCATTTTACTCCAAAATTTGGACAAGTTTTCGAAATCATTAATATTTTTTATGTATATCAAATGGCAGGCGTTTTGATAGTTATCAGGCTTCACAGAGAGGAGGAGGAGGAGCTGGCGGAATATCAAAGTAAAAAATGTCGAGAGTGGGGGAGGGAGTAAAAGAGAAAGACACGAAGGTAGAAAAAAGGTGAGGTGAGTACTGTGGAAGTAGTCGAATATGATATGCAGCGGGGTCATGGCAGTTAGAAGTTAGAAGTCAACTGCCAGTTAATAGATTTTTTTGCCGTATGTGTATACGCTGCACATCGCACACCTCAGTTTGCGTGACAAGTAGATGACTTGGACGCATTTACGAGGTTGTATTATCTCCATTAAGTGCAGATGTCACTGTAGAGGTTGAAACATGGAATTAACCGTTGTGGTAATGTCTGATTTGTGATGTCGAGGTGACGTTAAATGCATGGGATTAAAATCACGAAACCCATTTACCTGAGACTGTTCGAGGGAATAAAGAAAGGACTTTTCACATTTGATTGGCTTTTTTTCTTTTTTAAACACAATCATTTTATATCTTCATTTAGGTGTCTGTCAACTGGTCTGCATCGAAAACCTAAATTAAACTCGAATAAAAAGCCACATAAGACTCGTAAGTACACACCAGCTTCCACGTCTTCACGTTTATCTTTAAGCAGTTCTCTAATGGTTCCATTTTTAGGCAACAGCTCTTTACTGAATCGATCTCCACGGCGAGAAAAAATTGTCTACCGCATTGTTGCCTACCAGCCTGAAGGGGTGCCTGTGGTTCCCCCACTCTGTGGTCTTGTTCTAGTTGGTGGATGTCAATTTTCGGCCTATGCTTTACCTCGCTTCTTGGAAGATTTCTGCAATTGGGATTCGGATATCGCCTTTGTCCGCCCCGGTTACTTTTTTGTTCCAAAAACAATCGGTGAGTGTTTCTCGGATTAGACATTAATTTCTACTGAAGCAATCTCAATAACAAGCAACACAATTCCAGATAAATCGAAATCTACGGACATACCAACTGCCAATACACAAGAGGAAACAGTAGCCAATTTCCGGGGTGGCGGTGAAGTTAATCTTCTAGTTACTACTCAGTCCGGTCTTGCTGCCGCCTCGACTCTTCCGAAATGTAATCTTGTGGCTTCATTCCACCCCTCCAATTCCATTGAGACCTATCTTCTAGCTAAGTCCAGACTTCGTCTTGTTTCCATTAACACTACCAAGGCTCGACTCTGGCACTTTTTGGAACCGTCGAAAATTTCGATGAGAAATCAGTATATATATATATATATATATTACTTTTAATGTTTAGGTAGTTGGTATGTTTTATCTTAATTTAATTAATGCTCCCTTTGCATATGATTTTAGATTCCAAGAAATTGAACGACTGCTAATTCAACGTTGCAGTAGATCTGATCTTTCTGTTAATGAGCATGATGTCGATCCTAAATTTGTGGACGAAGCTTTTGAGTTTCTTCCAAAGGTACGTTCAGCTATTTTATTAGTGTATTTACGTGCTCTCGATTGGCCCATTTTTGCATGAATTGTTGGAAGTGGAGATGTTATTACAAAAGTCAAGACTTATTCTTAGCTCGAGCTGAGAATGGCGCATTTGATCGGTGTATGGTGACAATAGCGAACTATGCTATTGTTATACTATTGTTATTCCAAATTTTACTACAGACCCGTATGTGAGCAAATTCGCAGTATTAAGAAGTGGCATTACTCCCATCTTTGAAAGCAGTAGGCAAGCTTGGATTTTTTGCTATCAAGTAATTTATAATGATGCTCATTAAGTAGAAACTGTAGAAAACTCGTAAATAGGGTGGCCGATATCCCCAGGCATAGCAATTGTTACCAAGATTAGTTACGCTGCATTCAAAGTATAAGGCGGAGGGTGGGGGGAGGGTGGAGGGGGAGGGGGCACAGAACGTGCAGGGTGATGAGCGTTCGTTATGCAGTCCGACTAAGATAAAGGAGGTCCCGTTCAGTTTCCTGTATCCTAGGTAAAATGCAATTGAGCTCCTGTGTGGTGCTCTTGATCAGCCCTGGTGACTTTGTGCGATTCACAATATTCTTCACTGGATGACATCTAATTGGATGCAATGGTACAAGAATTCAGTAATATATCTAATTAAAGTATGTTAAGAAAAAAAGACGAATCCATTTATGTGGATTGCACAAGTGGTGAGTTTTCTATTTCCTCATAAACGGTTCTGCCAATTTTCCAATGTCCAAAGGCTTGAGGTTTCAGTTTTCATCACTTGATCCCTGGATTTCTGGATGAGTCCTCGAACAGGCAAAGGTGTTCTAGAATCCATCTGAGCTCGCTAGAGTTCAGTAAAAGTGAATTTTAACGCCTATCGCGTGGATAAGGGGAATTTTAATTTAGAAGAGTATATTTAAGCTCACGTGGTGAGATTACATTTAATGGAAAGCCGGGTAGAATAGTTGATGCCCAAACTAATATTCTTAATCAATTTGATAACAGGGAATAGTACGCATGTGAAGAGAGAGAGAGAGAGAGGGCAGTTTATGCATTTTATGTAATTATACTTCTTTTTGTTATTTTATTAGCTCAGTGCCAGTAGAGCTATTGACGTTATAAATCATTACTGCGCTCGATTGCCTTGCAATTTTATGACACGTTTGGCGCCTCGTTGGAATCTCATCTCACGTCCATTGGTGGATGTCAAGTCCGAATTGGGCGATTCTGGGAAGGCACTCACTACTTGTCCTGACACTCATCACAGTGATCCCCAGGTCGCCTATCGATGCGCCCTTCAAATGCCAAGCAATTCCCCAGTAAATCAAGTTGTCTGGGTGAGTAGAGTTGGGTTTATGGCGACCCCCTCCCCCTCCTTTGGCTGCAAAGCCTTACCTGATCCCCCCCCTCTCTCTCTCCCCTTTTTTGTTCCTAATTTTAGGGCGATTGGTCAGTGTGCAAGAAAATGGCCAAATACTCCGCTTCGGTACGTGTTGGCCATTTGCTTCTTGAAGCACGAGAAATCAGCAACAGTGGTCGAGCGATACTTCACCATTCCTCCATAATTGAGCCTTCGCGCATGATTCGCGAATCTCGCTGTCGATCTCCTGTCAAAACTAAATCCTCCTATTTAATTAAGGTACATCGGGGTGGTCTTTTACATTTTACGCTTCTTCTTTTTATTCTCTTCACCAAATAATTCGCATTTATCTTCCCAGACTCCGGATGCATTCGTTAGATGCTTACCCAAAGTAGATCTCAATGGTGCAACCAGTCAGAATTATCTCTACTTGATTGACGTTCGCCATCTCGACTCAGTTCTTACCCACCTCCAGCAGCAGCGTAAACACAAAGGCACAAGCTCAACCTCACTCCTCTTCTATCCGGAATCAGAAAATCGCATCTTTGCTTTTCTCACCTCTAAGCGTCTTCCCTACGTACGTTGACTTCTCAATAAAAATAAAAGCAAACCAATTAGTAACTAACAATTAGTGTCAACTCGTCATTTTAGGTCCCCGACTTCTCCATATTCACGCGTTCGGGTGAGGAGACTGTGTCGATTTACGAGGCCAAATCGTGCCCTTGTTTAAATACTGACCAACTTAATAGGCTGTCCAATTTTCATAGAATCCTTTTCAAGGTTTGTTTAATATTAACTTAACATTAACATTACATGCAAATTATAGTCGGTATTGCGAGTTGAAAAGGATACCCTGATGACTTTCTGCCTACCCGAAGCTCAATGCCAAATTCTAATCATTCCAGTGAAACTTGGTGTGTGTCGATTGTTCCGTTATTCATTTCTATATATTGCATTATTTCTTTTAATAGCATAAATGCAACTTTTAACGACGAGAAGATATTTTTGCTTACACATTGTCCACCATTAATACCTTGTGCAAAGCATTCCATCTGTTGGTAGACAACCCTTGGATTTCGTGGTGATTGGCCTTCCTTGTGTGTCTCCTCATTCTCGCGTGTTTGTTCGTTGAAAGATTCATACTCCGCCTTAATCGACCATTTCTATGTGCCAATTTAGTAGTGGTGTCACGTTTTTATTGGTGCAAGTTCAATATAGGCCAATATATCATTTTCACTGAGAACACGTGTCGACAGATTTAGTCTTCACTTTTTTACTTGCGTTACAAACCTTTTTCAGAGGTACTTTTTCAACTGTATAAGCTTAATAAAATTCACCGAACATAGTTTTGGTGAGTTTAGTCTATCAAATATCATCAACCTCACAATGGATAATGGTAGAAAATCGTACGCATGTATTAGTCCAGCAATTATCCATTTAGAGAAATGAATTATCCAAATCTGCTTCGACTCCCATCAACGCGGTCTTTTCATTTAAGTGACCCATTTGCTACTTCAGATACCCAAGAAATCGATTGGGATTTAGTTGATCTCTGCCTTAGCACTTTCGACCCCTCAGTGGGTGATTGTCGAATGCCAATAAGGAGACGTCCCCCACCACCATTCCGCTTATCTGAGGAGCCGTTTCCCCTCACACAACTTCTTTCCACACCGGATTCTTCTCAAACCATCTTCGATTTTGTTCCTGAGGACTTCGCTAATGCTGTTCTAACACCCACCTATCGATTAGTCGATTTTCCACCACGTTATTATGTAGTCACCATCAGGTATGTTCCGGTTTGATCATCCTAATTATCACTAGTGTATACTTATTGTTTTTCAATTTTGCTTTAGAAACGATCTATCACCAGCCTCAAAGTTTCCATCCCCTCAATTTTCAAATTTTGCGGATTACTATAGGAGTAAATATGGGCTGCATTTAAGTGGATCGGCTAAGGATCAGCCTCTTCTGGACGCCGCGTATGCACCACTTCGATTGGCATCTCTCCTAGTGCCTCGTTGCTTGGCAGCAGCCGCGGCTGCAGCTCAAAGAAAAGCAGCTAATTCTGGCGGTGGCGGTAGGAAGAAGGAGAACGCTAATTCAAGCCGCGCCGCTCCCAGACATGTTCAACTTCTTGTTCCGGAATTCTGCTATCGACATGCCTTACCTGCGACTGGTGAGATCATTTTGTATACTACTGTGGTATGGTTACGTAGTTATATCATGTTGGGGGGGGGGGGGTTTATTTTGTCGTAGTCAAGAGATTTGGAAGTGCTATGGTTGTTATGGTAGTTTTGTAGGAGTTAGAGAGCCTTCAGTTTAGTGGAATTGTGAACCCAAGTCTAGGAGTACACAACAAGTTTTCCCCAAATCAAAACGGTAGCAATTGCAGCAGCAGCAGGAGTTGAAATTCGGAGACGAGAAGAATCGAGATCTAGAGAGGGAAGTCCAGGTGATTGAAAGTCGGTACTTAATAAGGAGTAATCCTTCCATATAACCTACTCCATATCGTAAAGTAAGAAAACAGCCTGTTAGGCAGTTTGGAAATCTATTTTCCCCTTTTCTGGAAAGTGAAACAGTGGTTGAGTTAGGCCCAGTAGTAATCGAATATTCCATACACGCTCTAATATGCTATGCTTTACAATTGAAGCATCTTTCTGAATGCTCTTTTGCTCTACATCCGGCTTTAAAGAAGGGCGAATGTTTTTGACAGCTTATGAAGTAACTTCAAAGCACCAGTCTCAAAATATCTATCCAACGAGCAGTATTTACTTATATACCTATATCAAATGGCAAGCGTTTCGATAGTTATCGTTAGCCCTTTAGCTGACTTCGGGCTTCACAGAGGGGAGGAGGAGGAACATCAAAGTGAGACACAGGGGAGAGGGGGAACAGAAGTGTGATGAACAGATGTTAAGTAGACAAACAGACACAAAAGTGACACGATGGGTGTTATTTGGTGTGCATGTAAGTATTTACGAGTTTGCAGTTGTAGCGAGGGTCTTCTTTGATTGCGGGAGTCAATGTCGAGGCTGAAACATTGAATCAACTGTTGTGACAAAGTCTGAATTGTGATGTCGGGTTCTCCAACACATTTTCGGGAAAATCTGCGGTGTTAGTGAAACCAAATCAGATCGTCCGTGGTGTTACGTTCTTCTGTCCCCGGTATCTTCGCAGTCTATATTCCTGTAGACAGAAGCCTAACCTGAGTTTAATTTACAAAGTCTTTTCACAAAGCCGCCAAATTACTTTGAGTTTGGTATAAATTTGGGCAAAATTTCTCACCACGACACTATTTAGTCGCCGTTTTGTCTCCTCAAGCCACTGGCGCAATATAAAGCGTCTCTATTTGTGTATCTGTCCGATGAAGTGAAATTGACAGATCAAGCTGACGACAAGGGAATAAGCAGAAGTTTGTCAGTCGGTTTTCAAAACTCCACATAATCTACTTCGAGTTTGTCTATTCTCGAGGGTATTGTCCACTTTCTTGCAACACTAAGTATGATCTGAGCTTAAGCTAATGTGTCAGTTCAGTTCTTCTATTCATGCATTTGCATTCGGGACAGCTGTTCATAGCTTCTATTTCATCAAATATACTGGTTTCTTTATTTCTTTTCATATTTCAGTATGGCAGAAGGCGGTTTGTCTGCCCAGTATTCTCTACCGTCTGCAGCATCTCCTCTTAGCAGAAGAGTTGCGTTCAGAAATCGCCCGAGAAACTGGAATGGGAATTGTGGATCCGCCTAGTAGAGCCTGTTTCCCATCTCTGCGTTGTCGTACGTTGCCAAAACTCACATCCCTCTCAAGATCTACCTCTCCTGTCAACGCGAAGGAAGATTCCACTGTACATGGACAAGAAAATCCTGAAATAGTCAAGTTGACTCTTAATCCTCCTTCAAAAGTCGATACTCATAAAACCGGACATGATTTTGACGCCCTTTTAGGGGATTCCTTTGTAGATTCGGACAAAGAATTGGATGATTCTAATATTGAAGAAATCGAAGAAGAGATAGACGCGGAGAGTGTAGATAGTTTTGAAGAAAATGTTGGTAAATTAACCTTCTTTCCATCTCAAGACGATGATACTGATTTTGAGGTATGCTTACTTGATTTATCCTTCGTATTTGAGAGCCAACTTAATTTATTTCTGTTCGGTTTTCAAGAACCGGATTCTATATCGTCCCGGACCAGCAATGATTCTCCAATCTCTAACTCGCCTAGCAGCTGGAGATTTCATCAATATGGAACGGTTGGAGACGATCGGTGATAGCTTCCTAAAATTTGCAGTCACTACATATCTTTATCTGAAATATCCTGATGCACAAGAAGGGAGCCTGAGTTCATTCCGTAGTCATGTCGTAGGTGTCTCGTTCTTCTTACACATTCCAAGTTATTTCAATGCTTGATGATAACTTTGGCTATTGTAGGTGGAGAACTCTAATCTGTTCAGATTGGGCTGTGGAAAAAAGTTGCCAGGACGAATAGTTGGTGTGGCATTTGAGCCTCAAGAAAATTGGCTCCCACCATGCTATGTTTGCAATAGTGATAATGCTCCTACTGATGATTTGTAAGTAATGCATTGATGACTCAGTTTGAATGTTTAGTTCTAGACCTCAGACTACCCAGACGCATCAATTTCTCTCCAACAAATCGATTGCTGATTGTGTTGAGGCCCTCGTTGGTTGCTATCTCACTGAACGTGGTGAACGATCTGCTCTGAAACTCCTGCAATGGTTCGGTGTAGAATGCCTTCCTCCAGCGAGTATGTCTCATCTACTTATTAAAAAATTTAACTAACACTATAGGCCAACTCAAACTTGTTTTTACTCTTCTTAGGTGAAATGCAACCAACCGGAGCGCCTTGGAAAATGCCTGAAGAGCGAGAACTAACTGAAGCCGAGAAAACCGAAATTGACCGAATTTACCATGTCAATAGATATGATAAGTTAGAAGACACCATCGGCTATAAGTTCAAAAATCGCCGATTGCTTATTGAGGTAGGAATAGCCAATCAGTAACGCACTAATTTTTTGTTGCTTCCTCTTTGAATTTCGTGATGGTTCCGAGTTTGAGGAGCATATCGAATTTCTTTAGCAAATTTCAGGCTTTGGCGAAAATTGGTCATTCAAAAGACTTCTTAGTTTCACTTATATGAGAAACCCGCAATTAAATAAGCCTTCTTGTTAAGCAGAATTGATCTCCTTCCATCTGACTTGGCTTCTTAAGTAGAGTTTTTTAAGACTTAAAATTGATACCAGTGTTAAAAGCTAAAATGCAGCTTATCTCTACTTGGGATGGAAGGTCGACTCCCCATACGGGGATGATTCATTCCCAATGCACACTACGCACTCCCTCTCTCTCTCTATATATATGTAGGTGAAATATTCCAATTCTGCATCATCAACCATGAGCTCTTATTCGGGCGGGCGGTTATTTGAGTCCAAGAAATAGTTTCGTGAAATGGAATCTTCAGTTTAACCGCCTGAGAGAGGATTTTCAGTAAACCTCTGTTTTGAAATCCCCCTGTTTTGGTTCTACTTCAACAATACTGGAATATCCGTCTATGCATCGATGAAGCAGTTGTTTTATTTGTTGGCCAGGGATGAGCTATCCCTGTCTAGGGTTGAAGACGGCTTCCTTTTTCAGTCTTTAATACCATTGTGTTTGAATAGTCCTTTCCTATTCTAATCTCTTTACTTCTTCCAAAGAATTCCTTTCGACTCTGCGTGCATACGATCGCAATTCGGATCAGTGTGTTGCACGTTTTGTTCGCTATTTCTACTAGGAATGAGCTTCACAACACGAGACTGCAGTGTCCAAAGGAACGGGTTTTTGTGTTGTGTTGCACAACCCACAAATTCCCCCCCCCCCCCCCACTAGTTTCTGGTTGCTATCAATGTGTATCGATGTCTAAATAAGCCAGTGTAGATGTGTTACAGTAGTTAATTTTTTTGAAGCTCGGGTCTCAAATTTCTTACCGTAACCTCTTTTCTATTGCTGTGTAAGCCTCCTTTATTTAACCCTCTTATCTAGACTCCCAATTTTTGTCTACTTAAGTACAAAATCAGTAGCATATCTGAAAGTACGTTTTGATTTTAGGCTCTCACACATTCCACTTGCCGTGATCTGCATAGTAATCCCTCGGTGAATAATACACCAAGTAGCGCATTCTTTGGCAGTGGTGGCTATGAGCGATTGGAATTCCTCGGGGACGCCGTGCTGGATTATACTGTAACTCGAGTTCTCTTCGAATCGACGGACGGTGAAACCGTGAGAGAACTCTCCCCTGGTGGCCTGACAGATCTTCGATCGGCTCTCGTCAATAACGCAGTGTTTGGATCCCTAGCAGTGACTCACTGTGGTCTTCATGCCTATCTTCGCAGTACTTCTCCCCACCTAACTGAGGGCACTTCGGCTTTCCTTCGACACACTCGAAGTGCTCCAAGGGGCAACCTTGATTCTAAGTGTCCATTAGTCCCGGTAAGCTGTACTTACAATATACATACAACTGAACTTGCGCGGCTCATATCTGAAAGATTCACTTGTCCTATATTTAAGGATATCAATGGCGCTGCGGGGCTTAACGACGTCGAAAATCAAGCCGATAGTGGTGTAAGTTCTTTTCCTTACTATATAATTCGGGTCGGGTATTTTCATACCTAAATCCTAAGGGGTTAAGGTGGAGCTATTTTGCCCACTTTATTTTAATTAAAACAGCATCTAGTTGCACCTATATTTTCATGAGCAAAGTAATTTATTTTGCGTTACACTGTTGAGACTTCATTAGCGCACCTCTAGATTCATGGAATATTTCAAGCTTGATGATCTATGGGTTTAGTTTCAAGGTTGATCAGGCAACACATCGACGCACTTTCATCGTGTTACAGTTAATCACAAGCAACTTAGACTAACGAGGAATATTAATAAAATAGCAGGGCTGGGAGGTATTGAGTATTCACCCAATAATAATATAGCATTTGATAGTTGATGAATTTTTTCACTTAGGCTGTTCGTCCCTCAAATGAGATGGAGGCGGAAGTTCCGAAAGCTCTTGGTGATGTTTTTGAATCACTCGCCGGCGCTGTTTTCCTCGATTCTGGACTTTGTCTGAATACTCTCTGGCGAATTTTCTTCCCCCTTCTCCGAGAACGTATTGGTATGCTCCACCTTTTTCTCCCTTAGAATTCCGTGGTAGGGGGATACGTAACCCACGGATTGGTAGTTGTTAATAGTATCAGAAGCAACAACAAGAGAAACCCTATTGATTTTTAGCAGCGACAGTTGGCAACTGAGGCCATGATAGCCAAAGAATTGTGAGTCGGCTGTTGGCGAAGTAGTAGGCAGTGCTGTGTAGAGTCTCGTCAGAAATAGAGTGTTCGATTAGTTGTGACCGTTTACAATAGAGCGTGCACTGATTCCAGTAACAGGTCTTATTTAACCCTTTAATGACCTTAAGACCATACGGTCCTCTTTCAAAATAATCCACATTGGTACTAGACTTGTAACAGAAGGCGCTATTCCTGTTGAAAACATGTTCAATATGTGTCTGTAGCCTTCGCCTGATACCACTAAAATTCATTATGTTACCATTAGCCTGCTATATGACATGCATGAGTGCATTTGGGTGCTTATTTTCAAAAAAATGATTGTGGCGTTAAAGAATTTAAGAGATTATGGCATCCTTGTCTTAGCTTCCCATTTGGAGACTTAATGGCAGGATCGGTATTAGACCCCCATGGAGGCACATCAGTTGAGATGATGGAGAAATAGGGGCGAGTATTGAAAGTAACCTTCTTTGGTCAGGTAGATCGAACGATGTTCGATAAATCAGGTCAAGCTGACTTGAGTCCAATGTTAAGACACCAGGAAGTAATTGAAGTCGAAATTGGTTACTTAAGTCAAGCTGGCTCACGGTGAGGAAAATTTAAAAATTTTGTAAAGGTGAAATAAAGGATTAATTGAGTGGATTGAAATAAGGCATTGGAGAGTTGATTGAAAATTTCTTCTAAGGCGACTTGTTGAAATAGTTTCAAAGGTGGTAGTTTTGTTGCTATAACTTTCCTCCTCCTCCTCCTAGATAAACTCAGAAAAAATGAAAAGAACACCTGTAACTAAATGTGTCCTTCTATTAGCCACTTTGAAAAATTTGCATAATTAAATATATGGTTTAAGATATCTTGAGATTGTTTGGCTACCTTGTTGGTCTCCAATTCAGCGATGTCACAAGTAAAAAATCCAATAATTTAGAGACCAGTGCACAAGACCTATGAATATTTACAAAATTATACCTTTTCTCTCTCTCACTAGAGCGATATTCAACCTGTGTGGCCAAATCACCTGTCAGACGTCTACTGGAACAGTACCCCGAACGAGTCAAGTTTGAGTTAGTTTACTTCTCTCCCTCTCCCTCTTGACCCCATTCTCTCCTTTCCTAAGCTTATCTTCAATACACGCACTTTAGGAAGCCCATGGTTCGACCGGATGGCAAGATTCGCTTGGTGGTACGTGTGGTTGGGATTGGTCGATATGTTGGAATTGGCAGAACCTATCGATTGGCTAAATCTGCCGCAGCTGATCTTGCCTATCGACGTGCAAGAGAAGCCAATCTGAATGCCTAAAATCCGCGACTGATATAGATGAAGTACTTTGATATAATCTACTCGTCCAATACTTGTTTAATTGTGCATTTCTTCAATTAAATCAGTATTTCATAAAAAATGTGAATTTTTTACTTATATTGCCAAATCGATTTTTGTATTTAAAATAGAAATGCTTGTCGCTGATTATAATTTATAAGAATTGTCAACAAAATAAGGTAATGTAATTGTATGGTGCTATTGATTTAATGGAAGCATTAATATAATTTTAAAAATAAACTTGTCGGCAATGTGGATTTGGCAGGGAAGGAGAAGAGCCATTCACCAAATCGGAGCGCACGGAAATGGTAGCTTAATCTAGTGTGAAACGTCGGAATGAGGAAGACAAAAAATGTTTGTCTACTACAGATTAAAACAAGGGAGATGAGCGGGAAGGGAACCAAGTGTCATGCCTAATTTGGATTATTTATTTATTTCAAACGGCAGGCGTTTTGACAGTTATCATTAGCCCTTTAGCTGACTTCGGGTTTCTCAGAGAGGAGAGGAGGAACATCAAAGTGACAAAAATCGAGAAGGGGGGGCATAGAATACTGATTCACAGATGTAAAAGAGACACAGACAGGCACAAAAGTAGAGAAAAGGGTAAGGTGGGTACTGTGAAGGTGGTAGAATATGACATACAGTGGGGTGATGGTAGTTTGAAGTCGGAAGTCAATCGCCAGTTAGACTTTTTTGCCGTATGAGTACACGTTGCCCAGGGTGCAACACGTGGAGGCAGGTCTATCGCTCACCCTTAATTTAAACTATAAAACCCTTACGCTTCTAAAGCCTCATTAGGGATATTCTTTGCCTCCAAATTTTCAAGGAGGGACTCCAACACTATGAGTGAGACCTTATCCACGATATTCAGTTCTTAAAGCAATTGGTAAGTCCCCGAATAAAGAATTGCAGGAAATTAGAATTGTATGGATTTGTTACGATGCGAGTATTACAGTGCAATTGACTTAAATACGCGCGTCAAGAGTACTTCCAAATAACCATACCCGAGGGACATCGTCGAGATCAAATAAATGATAACCATGAAAGCTGTAATTTAATAGGCTAGCACAAGATGAGATAAATCGGTTTGTTTGTGCTGTAAAAGAATTTCAATTGAACTTGTTTGTAGCTTCCTTATTCCCTAATTGAGGTAATACAATCGTTTGAGCCTTCTATCAGCGTAGCCGAAATCAAACCCAGAAGGTTAATAGATACAAATGATCGCCTTTATAATGGCAACTTCTTACAATTCAAATCAAACCATGTAAAGCGTATGCATAACTACTTCAGCCCTATTTATGGGGAGGTAATGAAGCCTCCTCCAACTCATTGCGCCCATCTTGATATAATATTTGCATAGGAAGATGTTGGATGTATAGCTGAGATTTATCATGAGTTTCTTTCATCAATGTGGAAAATGAAGGAATAATTTTTCTCCATAATTTCCTTTTAAGAAATGTGTAGAATGATAGACTGAATTGAGACGGTTTTGTGCGGATTTCAATTATGCTCTGTAGTCTTCTATCAAAGGGACGCTAATATTGTCAATAAGGTGTATGAAAAGTCCATTATTTGATTTTTACTCGATTTAGTTGCATTCAAAATAGTGCCGTCTTTAATAATTTGAAATCACATCGTCATTCTACCGTAAAAATACTTTTTTTCTAATTCACACCCTTATTATGAGTGGTGACAAAATAAATTACAGAATTATTGTTTTATAAATAAAAATAGTAGTCAGCTTGTGGGACACGTTATCGCTGTGTGCGTCATCGTATGCCTGCATGTCTGCTCGCCAGGATTGGGAGGTGCGGACGTACAACTCTGTGTGCAGCAACCGTAAAAACAATGACCAATCATCAACCTCTGTTTAACCTAATCCCTATCCTGATCATGAGTAGCTCCATGCGTGTACACTTTATCCGTAATATAACCACCGGACAAATGTGCTCCGTGCTGCACGTCTGTCTACTTTATAGCTAGGCTATAGCTTAGCTGGTTCTGGGAGCCTAGCTAGATGTAGGAGGATCTGCCATAGAGATTTCTGAGTCAGTCAGGCTTTATTAAGGTAGCAATCCGCTACAATTCTCAACCGGTCTGGCTTTACTAAGGTAGCAATCCGCTACAAGTCTTTAACCAAGGCTTTACGAAGGTAGCAATCCGCTACATGTTCGAGATTAAGGTAGCAATCCGCTACAAGCTCTACTCCAAATTAATTATTGATAAAAAATTACATCTTATTTCCCAGTTTTTGTTCTGGAAGATGCGGATCAAATTCACAATTTAATATCCCGATTTCATCGTTCAATATCATTATTTTCCGAAATACTGAGTTATCTTTTACATTGAGTTAATAATAATGTCCAGGACAATGCAAATATGTTGCAAGAGATTCCCATGGTAACTCTCACAATGCACAGGAATTACAAACTGGTCAAATGAGTGGCGCCGAGGGTTAAGTTCTGGGCAATTCAGGATGTGGGTCGCTTATTAGCAAAGAAATAGATTGGGAATTTATTATTTAAGTTTTCCTTCGGAATTCTTTGATTCCAACAGCGTTAATTGAAGTTGGCACTTTCATTCATGGATTTTCGGAAATGGGTCGCCATCACTAATGTCTAAGATTACAGTCTTGCCTAAGCAGGTGAGGGATCTTGGTGGTCTTTGAAAATTCGGTAATTACTTGGGTCCAATTATCATGCTAGCGACTATTTCCCAATACGATTGGCTAAAGACATTGGTAAGCACCTATTCCATGACCTCTGACCTAGAATATGTGCCTTTTGAACTCTGGGTCACCGGCAGACTCGACGTAATCCCGAGGCATTAGTTGGGAGAGCACTCAAGGATATGATGTCATCAAATCAAATAAGTTATATTAGACTTACTTAATTCCACAAAATTGTCAATATTCGCACTGAAATTTTATTTGTATTATAATGATTTGGTGTCAAATTATCGATTTTAAAGAAATCAACTAGATAAATTAAAACGTAGTGTGTTGAAATATTCGTAGTAAACAGCAATTACGAATATATTTCTTAATCTAAGATACTGAGTGATCTTAAATTCAAAATTTATGCTGCAAAATCAAGATGATGACATATATTACATCTCTAGAAAGGGTCAAAGGCAGGCAGTAGCACTCCATAGCCTCAATATTTCCAGCGTTTGTGATAGCAGATTCCAACTAGAGTTTTCAGGACTCCAACAAACGAATTGAAGAATATGGCCTTATCGGTGGTTAGCCTTTTTGTAAATGATTCAAAGTTCCAAGGTAGGAGAAAAGGTCATCCAATTGCGTTAGATCAAGAATGTGCCTCTGAATGAAATTCTGCGTTCACCTTCCTGCCAAGAATCAGGAGGAAAAGAACAAATTTTCCTATTTTTATTTTGAAACTTTAGACGTGATATTTACCCTTTGCTGCTTATGATGGCAATTTTCAAGGTTACGTGAACGCATTTTTGAGATGTCAACTTTAACAATCAAAAGCAAACAATAGTTTGTTTTCAACTGATAGTACACTTCACTAAACCTAATGAATATGCCCCAGCTGAACGAAAATATAATGAGACCTGGTATATTGAAATCTTATGCGATGGCTTTCGACACTCTCAGTTTAACCGTCAGTAGAGTCATAAGAAGGCTCAAATTAATGGACAAAATGACTTAACTATTATACAATGCTCGAAATTATTGAATGCCTATCAATTGAACTTTAATTGGAGATTAGGTTCGAATTTATTAGTGAATAATGTTCACTCGAGCTGAGGTAAGTTGTGTTGACTCTTGTGATTTTTATTCACCTACAACCAGGTAGTATTGGCGATAGAAAGAGTAAAATTAAAAGTGGGCATATAGAACCCCCCCCCCCAATAATTAACCGCCTTGACCTTTTAGGCATTTAAATTGAAAGAAACAGATGAGTCAAAACGCGTTCATTTGTGAATTGCGTTTTTAACAAAAGCTGATACCGTTTCAATTTCGAGGCAACTGTTTGGGCACTTCGACAGGCAAGAGGTTATGTAATAAGTGACCATATTTTTGAGAAATATCAATTGTCTAGTATTTCATGTTCGTCCTTCACAAAACAGACATCGATTTAAGAAGTTCTTATAAGTTCTCTAATTGATATCTGTCGCCAGTTATACAGCTATAAGCATGGTGAATTTGACGTACTTTCTTGTAATGGATACAAAATTCACTAGGGAAATTTTCTTTGTTCCATTATTTTCACACCAGTTTTGATTTGTTTAAAATAAGCGTAAAATGGGGGGGGGGTTTAAAATTAAGCATTTTTATCAGTTAGGCCACCGATTTTTGGATGATTTTCAGAGAATATTTTAGTAATAAATAATTGTATGTATAAAAGGAAGAAATTATACATAAAAATTCAATAATTCAATAATTAATTTCTCTTTCCAATTTTCAATTTTACAATGTAAACTATATATAGCCTTCTTAAAATTATTGTCAGTTAGTTGATAAACTGAATAACATATTTCTGATTAAATTTCATAGATTTATGGAATATATGGTGACTTACAAAACGTTCTATAAACAATCCAGTTTTGAATAAAAATGGTTTTATTTATCTTATATATTTAAATCAAACTACGATAATATCGTGGTTTTTTTAAATTGTTTATATGGGCCATGTACGTTGGCGCTTATCTTAATCATGCTCAGCACATATTATCGCCGCCAATTTAAATTGCGTGATATTAAAAGTGACGAAGATGTCAAGAATCACATGGAAAGAAACAGTGACGATTTTGAATGACGGAACGGAAGTACCATTAATTGATTGCATAAAAATGCAACCTCCACGGCAACCAAATAATATTAATCGTATCGTCAATCCCGATAGGCAATTTCGTCGAAGAAATCACAATCGATTTGCCGGACTTGATTTACTTGGAGTTGATTCGAAAGTTACCAACCAATCACCGAATCCTCAGTCGTCTCAAAAAATATAACCTCCAAAGTGATAATACTTAAATTAGTACCTCTGTAAATAATTCTCCATAAAATTATATGTAAATATACTTCTATCTGAATTTCATTTTTATTTCAATGTTTAACTTTCAGTGAATGGAACCTGGTGCTTTGCAAGGTAAGATAGAGCGTTTGTTGGAGTGCTGGTAACTGTTATATCAAACGCTGGAAATATTGAGGCTATGGAGTGCTACTGCCTGTCTTTGACCCATTGTCGAGATGTAATATATGTCATCATTTTGATTTTGCAGCATAAATTTTGAATTTAAGATCACTCAATATCGTAGATTGAGATATATTTTCGTAATGGTTGTTTATTACTAATATTTCAACACACTTCTAATTTTTCAAGCTGATTTCGCTAAAATCAATATTTTGACACCGAATCAATAAAATACAAATAAAATTTCAGTGCGAATATTTTCAATTTTGTGGAATTAAGTAAGTCTAATATAACTTATTTGATTTGATGACATCATATCCTTGAGTGCTCCCTCAACAAATGCCTCGGGATTACGTCGAGTCTGCCGGTGACCCAGAGTTCAAAAGGCACATATTCTAGGTCAGAGGTCATGGGACAGGTGCTTACCAATTCATTTAATCAATCGTATTGAGAAATTGTTGCTAGCACGATAAATGGTTTTGACCTATCCATTCTCTCCATCTGCCCATGCCATCGACAATCGCTCTAAGCACCATATTCACGAGTGAGTGATTTATTCCACGTATTAAAGAGGGAATGTTATAATATTTCATTAACAATAGCGATGAAAAATGCTTTTGCTACACTTGCTAAGTTTTTTCCCATTACAAGTTCGACGGAATTCGAATTTCTTACAAGGGGCCGCATAATCTTACCAATCATCTCCTTAGTGGGCTTTTCCAATAGTTATTTTTTAAGTATCTTCACTCGAAACATCAGCACAATTAACCATGCCCTAACGTGTTTACGTGATGAAATCATCAAATAGACTTAGGGGTTTTCCACGCAGTTATTCTATATCTTCTTTCATATAGCTTATTCATTATAAATTAATTAAATAAAATAACTAATTTCATTTTATTGCAATTGAAAACCTTTCGTTACAAGTGTTTATTTTAGAAAATTTCTCTCCCAAGGAGATATATTTACTATTGGAAGATAGTTTTAGGGCTGCTGCAAATTCATTTCGATAAGCTTTGATTGGCTCTGAAAATGGCAACCCTTCGATGTCAATTCAAAACATCTGACTGAGGAAAAGTTTCATGATGATTTTTCAAAGTGCTTCCACGGGGCTTCAGATGACTTCTACAAAAAAATCACAGGAAAACTGTGTGCAAGTGTATAGAAATTTTGTTTCTTTCAGGTGTGAGCACATTTATTTGCTTCATTTTCATTGGTGTTAGCTTTTTTATGTTCGAAATAAAAATATTCTGAATTTTTAGACTGCTGTATTTCTGCTCATTTGCATTAATTTTGAAAAGTTTGAAAAGCTGACTGGTTTGGTGGGTACATTAATGACTGTCTGATTTTTATGCCTGCTGGAACCGAAAGATCAACGACACGATTTCGAAGAAAGAGGCTTCTTTTAACGCATTTTCTAATTATCGATTTTTTGATAAACTATTTGGAAAAAAGTGCTTAATTTAAAAGTATTGAATTAGAGTTCTGTTGTTCAGATGTACGCATTTGTTGCACTTTTCAACTTACAATAGCCTTTGGCGGTTTTTGAGGTAATAAAGTAAGTCTCTTGGCCTGAACTTTGTACTATACTATAGATTAAAGTTTACTTCGGTACTTCGTATTTTTCGAGGTCATATTTGCATCTATGACAAACTTACTTTATGTGTTTCCTCATATTAAATCTTCTCTCGCTAAAGTTCACGCCTGTGCTTCAATTGTTATTTGTGTGTTAATATGATATTCTAATGCTCACAACATATCTTTAAAATTCACATTTGACTGGCTTTGGATAAAAATTAATGAAGACCGATCTGGTCCTTAGAGTGAAGTGAATGAATTACAGCTAAAGTTTGATTATTGCAAGCGCGTACGCCGTTACTTGGTGGCAGACATAATGAACGAAAATCTGCTCTGTAGTTAAGAGAGAGAGAGATGAAGAAGAAGAAGAAAAAGGGAAGTAATGATTTTAAACATAAATTTTTGAATTTGAAGCGACAACTCAAATAGAGAAGTAAATAATAGCTTAATTCAACAGAAAACTAGCTCAATTGAATTACCTATAGCTTATTTACATTTGAGAAAAAGTAGAATTAAGCTTTTTAGGTGTTTTATTTTTAAATTCAACCCAATTCATTCCAAAATACTGTTAGCTGCATCACTTTTAAAGAAATAAAGATAAAGACACATTGAATAACTGACCTCAAATCTGATTGGTTAATGATTGATGGATAAGAGATACAAACGCAGTTCATATTACTGCAATTCACGTGAGAGATTTGAACGATAAGAGCAATGTCGCATAACCAATTGAAAAAGGATACTAGTTCAGATCTCTGTTCTGAAAATGAAGAAAACCATCACCTGCACAACACTGCAACTGAACCATTGCCTTGGTATGAATCTTCAGAAGAATCTGGTGAACTGAAAAACCACGGGGCTACCTACACTGGCCTTAGAAAGCAATGCCTGATCTGGAATGGGTCAGAGCAAACTGACAAATCAGCTCAGCGGCGCATGCTCTTCAAATTGGTCGCATTGTTCGAAAGCATTGATGGCTGCGAAATGCGTAACTCGACTACAAGGAATGGATCTTGATTCAACGCAACATCAACAACTGATGCTGAGAGTGTATCCAATACCACTGAAGCTATATTCCAAACAACTTTGCATTAGACCGATTACTTGTGTCTTTGGTACAATAAGGAACTCAGCTCAATTTCCATTAAAATATGCATTTAGACTTTTTTCACCAATTTTCGGGTTATCTGGCTCTGTAATATTATTCCCAACTAGCCATTAATTCACTAAATCTAAACACAATTTCACATTTAAATTGCAATGTGGACATGAAGTAAATTGTCTTTTACTATGTTGTCCACGATGGAGTGTTGAATAGGAAAGATTTATTTATGGCAGGCACTTTGATAGTTATCATTAGCCCTTTAGTTGACTTCAGGCTTCACAGAGGGGAAGGAACATCAAAGTGGAAAAAAAAGTCGAGAGGGGGGGGGGGAACAGAAGAGTGCTTCAAAGACGAAGGTAGAAAAAATGTGAGGTGAGTACTGTGGAAGTGGTAGAATATGGCATACAGTTGGGCCATTGTAGTTTAAAGTCAGAAGTCAACTACCAGTTATTTGACTTTTTTGCCGTATGAGTATAAGTTGCCCAGAATGCCTCACGTGGAGGTAAGTCTATCACACACCCCTCAATAGGAAAGATAATTTAGCGCGCAGGAGAGTATTTCAGTCTTGAATCCTCTCGGTTCTTTAGTCATTCATTGTTTAATAGATTCTTGACTTGAATGCAAATATGAGCGGTTGGTATTATCTTAAAAGCAAGGATTTGCAACAATCCGCCTTTCCTGAATCCCATTATTTCGGTACTTATACAGATTAGGTGTAGGTGCCATTTCAGGCCCTTAAGTTTTGAGTAATACAGAATCTTATTGGGTTCTTCATAGAATTTACTTATTCTTCTTTTATTTTAAAGTCCATAAAATTCTCCACTGTTAAATGCGAATGGCATATACTAGTTGATTTTTTTGCCAAATTTCTGAAGGAAAAATGTCATTTTTTCACTTCCCACCTCCGTTGAGTTTATTTACTCTGGAAGTTCAAAAGATGAATTATTTTTACGCGTGAGTTGAAAGCATTTCCAGGACGCTTCAACTATCTCAGCAGCCTGGACGATTCTTCTCGACTGTCAACCTATCTTATTATCACGAAGAGAGAGAATATCAGTTAGATCGTATGTCTTACTATGTAGACATCCATTTCTTTTGAAGACTAATCATTGTTCGTTTTCCAATGCCAGTCCTGAAAAAGTTGAATTTACAGTTGGTTTAAAACTCAACTATATCTATATCGTGGAAGTCACCAACTGTGTGCAACCACGCTGAATAATCATGGAAAACGTTTCTTAGTTCTGCGCCTACTAATATGTAAATACTAAGGCGTGTTGGCTAAGCCCAAGTCTTGTGAAGACCTTCACAGACTAATTTCAAGAGAGGCACATTTTGAGCCTTTGGACTTTACTATCGACTTTAGAACGCTAAATAGTCAATAGTCATTACCACTTTCCATATTCAATGAAGTCAACCTTGAATAGTCCTAAAAGCAATCAACCAAGGTCAGTTAATTTAAATATGACCTGAGCAACTATGTTGTAACCTGTAATGACCCCCTAATGAAAGCAATGTGTGATGACGTTAAACGTGTATTAACCGACCCTGGCAGTGTTATAAATGATAAAACCGATAGAAATTAGACAATGTTTGGGTTAAAATTAAATTTTAACACCATTATTTAAATCTAAAATATTTAATAATCTCGATTTCAATTGCAAAATCACCGTAAATCCGATGAAAGCGAAAAGTCTAAACGCTAACCCTGATGAGTTCGTATAAAGACTACTTAGAACTAACCCACTGTCAAAAAAAAAACAATTTTAAATAAGCACAATTGAAGAAAATTAATAGCAAATACCAATCTTTCAGTCGATATATATGTAAAGGCTGCCAGCACAATATCTGCAAAGGCTAGCGAAAAGAGACAAGGGACAGATATTATGAGTGGGATATTGGCTTAACGACTAAGTGCAGAATCATCGATATTTTGTGGATAAGTACTAAACTCGCTGGAAGAGAGGAAATGTAAGAAAATGATGAAAACATTGGAAAGCAAGTAAGAAGTGGAAGTTAAGTAAGAAGAAGAAAACAATCTGTTTGTAGACCAATAGTAGAGAGGTGGGTCAATACCCCCCTTGGAGGTAACCAGCAAGGGGATGTTAAGTGTCAGTCATCCCCAACAAGATAGAAAATCTCAGTCTTCAATAACACTACCTATTGTATCATAGATGTGCCATACTTAATACGTTGCATAAAAAAAGAAGTTCATTTCAGTAGGGAACTTGGTTAATTGGATGGTAATATCAAGTCTATCAGTCATTGCACACTCTGAATTGGAAGGCCGCACAATTTCGATGCGCGCCATCTCATTCCCTAAACATTTCAAAGGATCGCAGTATTCCAACCACATGAAGGAATGTTTAGACTGTTGGAAACTCTTCAAAATGTCACCTAGGTACACAAATTCCAGTTCCATACATATCTTCAGAACTCTCGAGACGCAGGCAAGGTTCTTTCAACTTACTAAGTCAATCTTCAAGACCAAGTCAAAAACTTCATTCACTCTACGTTCATTGACATTAGAAACCAGATGTTCATTACGGTTCGAGAGATCGCGGAATTCAAATTCAATACACAAATATTCTGAAAAGAACCCAAGCTCGACTCTAAAAATATTGAAGCCGAGTGTTTGAATAAGTGGGCTATAAGTGGAGTTAAACTGGCCTAGGTAACGAGGTAAGCGTAAATACCTTCTCAACACAACAGCTGTGCAACATTCAGTAGCAAATTCCAACATTCATGATGACATTCTTCAAATTCAGAGGAATAGAATGAGCTAGAAGAGCAAATCTACAAAACAGTCAAATTTATAAATTTTGTACTACCTTCAACTATGTAGCAGAGTTATCGATTGAACTCAAGCTTATTACTGTCAAAATTTCATGCGCCTAATTTTTTTCAATTCATTAAATCGACTCTCTAATTAATCATCAACTTCGGAATATTCATCTACTACTGTTTCGTTTGCATCTGGTAGAAATCAATGTGAAACTCATTTCCATTATCATCAATTTGGCCATAACGATCTCTTAACGAAGATAGCAGATTCTGGCTTTAGATCCAAGGCATGGGCTATTTGTGCCAAGTCGCTGGCCATGATTCGCGAAACAAGCCCATTTCCTCACCACAAAAAAGAGCTAAAATGAACATTTTGCTCTAACGATGGATGATTTTCCTTCTATCATTCATATAAATTTGTTCACGTTGGTAAAAGGAGTGTTACCTATCATGTTTTCATGGCTTCTAAACGACTCACATCTTTCCTAATTTTCACTTCCCATGTAATTTGATGTGTAACAACAATGGTTAATTTGGAAGGCATGGATATTGGAGCCTGTGAATGCTACTCTCGATTTGTGGTAGTGAGACTTAGTACTCTTCATGCTATTCTTGAGCTGAGTCCTAGACAATGCAGCTCAACTTTTCTCAGCTGTTTATACACCCAAAGTCTACATATATTATTAGACCGGTGACTTTTTCAGGTTTCACTATCGCAAATAAGCGGTACGAAGTTTTTAATCTCATTCCTTAATCCGACCATCACTCGCATCATCCAACCACCCCCCCCCCTAGAACGCTTTGGAGATGCATTGAAGACATAAACAATTGACAACAAAATTTAAGGTGCCAAAATGAATAATAGCAATAATGAATGAATAGGGGCAAATAAAATCGAAGCGGTTAAACAACAATGATTCTGAATGGGAATAAAATTTACAGTAAGGTTCCATTTTTATAACCCCTAGATTGTCTATCATTTAGGAGAGGCCTAAAGCTCACTCCTGCTTCATTGTATTAGGTTGGCAACTAAGTCATTGTCGATTTCAAATAAGAAGGCAAATTCGGAATTTTTGTTTAAAAATATAACTTTATTCAATTAGATATTGGCCGTTCTTGTCGATGACCTTTTTCCATCGTTCTGGCAGAGTAAAAATTCCCCGTTCGTAAAATGTCTGGTCTTTGCTATTAAAAAACTGAATTAGGTGTGATCCGACATCATCCGCGTTGTTAAAAATTTTACCATTTAAAGAGTTTTGCATGGAACGAAACAAATGGTAATCCGAAGGCGCAAGGTCAGTGCTATATGGTGGGTGTGACAAAACATCCCAACCCAGTTCCAATAATTTTTGCCGAGTAACCAAAGATGTGTGGGGCCTTGCGTTATCATGATGGAAAACAACACCCTTCCGATTTGATAATGCCGGCGGCCGCTTATCTTCAATTGCATCCTTCAGTTTTTCGAGTTGTTCAACATACACATTTGAATTTATCGTTTGGTTCTGCGGTATGAGTTCAAAATACAAAATTCCTTTGTGATCCCACCAGACTGACAGCATAATCTTTTTTTGGTGAATCTCTGCTTTTGATACTGTTTGGGCTGGTTGATCTTGCTTCACCTATGACCTCTTGCGAGTAACATTGTTATAAACTATCCACTTTTCGTCGCCAGTAACTAGGTTCTTCAGAAATGGATCATTCTCATTGCGTTTCAGTAGCGGCGAATCATAGATGCTAATCCGTTGCATCAAATGAATTTCCTTTAACTGGTGAGGGATCCATAAATCAAGTTTCTTGACATAACCAAGGTTTTTTAATTTTTTTCCAATGCATGTATGCGACACATTGAGCTTCTCTGCAATATCTCGTGTTGTGCTGTGACAATTTGAATCGACAATGGCCTTGATATGGGTTTCATCCACTTCGACTGGGCGGCCAGATCGTTGTGAATTTTTCAGTGAAAAATCACCGGAACGAAATCTTTCAAACCAATTTCGACACTGCCTTTCTTTTAAGGCTTCATCTCCATATACGGCACATAACTTCTTTTGTGTTTGCGATGCGTTCTTGCCTTTTCGGAAGAAATACAATAAAATGTGTCGGAAGTGCACGTCCCCTTCTTTCATTTTTAAATTGGGATAAAAACAAAACTAAAGAACTAAACAAAAAAAATTGTTTACTAATTAACCTAGAAGCTCATACAGTAAGTAAAAAATATAGGTTAGATGCTCTGACCACGTTAACAAAAGAATAGAAAGTATAGAGTGAATCCGTCAACAAAAACGGCAATGACTTAGTTGCTCACCCAATATGTTGTTTGTTGCTTATTAGTTAGTAATATTGTTTGCGTATCTGTCGCGTAGGAACCAAGTGCGGCTGTGGACTCAGAGACCACCCAGCCAGGCGAGAATCAATAGTTCTTACATTCTTTAACATTTATTTATATCAAATGGCAGGCGTTTTGATAGCCATCATTAGCCCTTTAGTTGACTTCATGCTTCACAGAGGGGAAGAGACATCAAAGTGAAAAAGTCGAGTTGGTTGGGGGAACAGAAGAGTGTTTCAAAGATGTAAAAGATACAGACACGAAGGTAGACAAAAGGTGAGGTGAGTACTGTGGAAGTAGTCGAATATGACAAGGTAAGATGAGTACTGTGAAAGGGGTCAAATATGACAAATAGTCGAGGTAAGATGAGTACTGTGGAAGGGGTCGAATATGACATACGGTTGAGGTGAGTACTGTGAAAGTAGTCGAATATGACATACAATGAGGTGAGTACTGTGGAAGTAGTCGAATATGACATACAGTCGGGTCAAGGTAGTTTTAAGTGAGAAGTCAAGTGTCGGTTAATAGACCTTTTTGCCATATGAGTATACGTTGCCCAGAGTTCACCACGTGGAGGAAAGTCTATCGCACACTCCACATTCTCTAACCTATCATTTATGGTATTTTAATGACTAAATTCGGTGAAAATCAACATCCCAACTAAACGTATTCTACACTGTGCGTCTGTTTCCTGTATATATATTGTTGAAGGGATCTTGCCACTGGAGTCACTGGTCATAAGTCAAAACCTATTAGTGCAGCCATCCGCTGAATGTTCGAGTTTCAAAAAAGGAGTTTTCAAAATGTTTTAGGATTTTTTCCCCTTTACAGTCAATTTTAATTAACATCTCAACTCATGTAAATAATACTTTTTCATCTCTATAGCAATTCAATAGAATTAATTTATTTGAAAACAGGTTAGCGAATTAGTTAAATGGAGTCATGCCATTAGCGCCTTCAATGGTATTCCTTAAGCTTTCTTATATTGGACAGTTTGGTAAGGTGAACAAATTCTCCCCTTGTATCGTTATGTCCTGTTGCTTATGAAAAAATTCTCTTAAACGCTTCCTCTTTTTGTTCTAATCTAATATGCCACATTCGTTCATTCTCCCCTTCCTCAATCTTAGGGTAAATTAGGCGGGAGGATTTCAAGACATCTTTGATATGACGGTTAGGCTGCAGAACTTTGTAGATTTCTATCTGGCCGACAGAATTTCTCCCTTATTAGCGTAATAAAGAGACTCGTTCACAGCGTGTCTTGGTAATTGGTCGGCTTTTCAACATGATGAATACGTACTCTTTAACCGATAATACAGTAAATTTGAATTCCTTCACTGTGCTGACTGTGTGCCAGTCGGAAGATGAGCAATTCATATGGCTAATAGATTTTCCACTTTAGATTTGCACAACGGTCACTAAGCTACACCGCGCCACGCCACGCCATGCCACGCCAGGCCAAGTCATTGCATTCGTTTTCCTGTAACAAGGTTATTAGGTGCCAAAGAAACAGGATTACTTGCTCTTTTAATTATATCCATGTTTTTTTATAGTGACTCTCAGTAGAGTTGTCATTTATAAAATAAACATCGCAAATTACCACATTAGTGCATTAGAATGACTTGCTAGCCTGTCTCAAATAATATATTTATTTCAAATGGCGGGCTCTATGATAGTTATCATTAGCCCTTTAGCTGACTTCGGCCTTCACAGAAGGGGAGGGACGAATACCATAGTGAGAAAAATTCGAGAGGGAGAAAGAAGAATGATTCACAAATGTAAAGAGAAAAGGTAAGATGAGTACTATTGAAGTAGTCGAATATGACATACAGTGAGATGAGTACTATTGAAGTAGTCGAATATGACATACAGTGGGGGTGATGGCAGTTTGAAGTCAGAAGTCAACTGCCGGTTAATAGACTTTTCGCCGTATGAGAATACCTTGCCCAGGGTGTAGCACGTGGAGGTAAGTCTATCACACACACCGTCTCAAATAATTAAATCGTCTCAATTAGAGTGTAGGCTCTTTTCATCATCAAATGAATTTCAACATGACGAAATATGAAATCGTAAAAATGATAACATATACTCACTTAGATTGAAAGGTCAGCTCTGTTCGAATTCCTCAATGAATTGTTTTTTTTTTAAATTTAAAAGAAAGGCTCCAATACACGACACGATCCTCACGAAGATCCTGGATGATGGAAGTTTAAATCGACCCCCCCCCCCCCCCCCTATGTATTGGATCAATAGGATTAAAACAGCTAAGCAATTAAAATTTCAAATAACTGAGATACATACTTTCTGCAAAATTCGTCTGAAAATTACTGATAGGGAAATACCAAAGGCAGAATCATGTTTTATAAGGAACACTTCGAAAGAAACCAATTATTTATTTGCAAAAAATGTCACACAGATTGTTGAATCAGTACTCGTTTGTTTTAGAAATCGAGTTTTCAAAACTCTAGACCCTTGGCGTGACTAAATTCCTAAGCAACATCTCTTGCTTTTTGAATTCATCGTGGATTCGTTCTTCCAAATCACGCACCTTTCTACCCAAAGCACTTAAGCTGGCGCTAGAATCCCCACGCTAAATAGGAAGAAAAAGGAAATTAGATAATAAAATTAACAAGTTTTGCACTAATATGAGAGAGTATCGATTAATGAACTCACTGAAAACTTCGCCAACTTGATTGATTCATTGCCTTCTACAATACAAGAAAGAGTTTCGTTAACATTGACATTTCAACTTGGTGAGAGGAAAGATTGACAAATTCAAGGCTCGCTAATCATGGTTATTCATTTTAAGCAGCCAAACACGTTTGTGAAATATGATCTTCAAGATAATGATTGAACTTACCACTTTCTGAAGAATTGTCATTACTTTCTATTCTATCTTGAATTTCTTCAACTCTATAAATAAGGAAGAAATTTTGTTAAGCAGAAGTGCATGTGTTAAGTGATAATATTCATAGTAAAAGTAATTTATCCCCTTGTATACATACTCAACTTTACTGCATCAAAGGTACATTATGTTTAGATGAATAAGCAGCTTTAACATTTTGTTAAATTTAGTAGTGATTTGCCAGTTTCAGCCATAATGCAAAGAAAATTGAGTTGTCATGGCCATTCGAGGAACTGAATCAACTAGTAAACAACGCCAGAATATAATAAACAGAACTATCATCAGTAGAATTAGAACACAAGCTGGGAGGGCGGACCAAATTTTGAATCTTCTTTTCCCTCGATTTTAAAATCAGCGGCACGTCCATTCTTCAGGAATGAAATCTAATAAATCCACCTTAATTCATACATTGTATTGCCGAACTCGACTTCCGTTCTTCATATCTCGATAAATTCGACCTTTATTCCATTTACTCTGATACCTTCATGGGATTCGTGGCTGACAAAAAAACTCATGCGCACTCGAACAGTCTCGAAGGTGTGGCTGTGCTACTGGCTGAGTCGGGAGCAAGCGCAGACCTCTCAGCCAATCAGCGATCAATCCATAAGCCAATCAGCAATCAGTAGTCCCTGCAACTTAGCGTGGTACTAATTGCATTTTAAAGATCAAGCTATGTGCTAACGGTCCATAAGCTAAAATACATGCTGTTCACTTCACGCGCACTGTTTTCTTGATCTTACCCGAAGCATCCTACCTTGTTTTAGCAAGAAGATTTTTGAGGTTTGAGCTAGACTTATTTGGGTAGCGTCGGCTACTGATAAAAACCTGTCAAATGTTTTTCGTCTATGCCATGTATAACAATTATAATAATGGGAACCTGTTTGCTGGCGGATGCACCTTTTATTTACCCATTGGTACGGCTTTCACTAAGGACCCTTAGAATTCTTTAAGCAAAATCTTCACCTTCTATCGTATCTATAGAATGTCCCTCTTTGGGTTGTAGGAAATCACATATGAAGAGTGATGAATTGGGAACAGCAGTAGCAAGATATCATTTCGAGTCATGAGTTTAAACACCTAACAGTCAATAAACTGGTGTAAGTGGGGTAAAGACAATTATCATCGTTCAGATGCGACGAAATATTAAAAATCAGCTTCCTTTTAAAATTTTGATACTAATTTCAACAATTTATGTTTCAAGTTTCATTGAAGATGTCATGAAGAGTATACACATCAACATATAAGGCACTTACATATTGTAAACATTTGCTATTTGGCTAATTTCATTGTGCTTCTCTTGTTTCAAAATTTTGCGAACGGCCCACACCTGCATTTGAAGGACGGAATTGTCCAACTCCTCCTTATATGGATCAATTTGTTCCTCATCTTCATCGTCGGAGTCATCTCCATACGTTAGCATGTTCATGCCTCCTTCAGCTTCCTCCTCAATGTCTTTAGTCTTTTTAACTGAATTAAAAATACGCAATTGCTCAGTGGAATTCGATAACCATCAACAAAATGAGTATGTAAGCAGGTATATATATATTTGCCAAAACGAGAGTGACAAATCATCTTTCGTTTCTCGAACTCAAAATGAACAAAATAGACCATGATGCAGCTTGTTGGCACTATTTTCTGTCGTAACAGCTTCGTTATTTGACTCATTCGAGTCCGTTCGACCTAACTCCCTGACTACACGAAGAATATTAAAACCAGAAACTAGAGTCACTGTTTTACCCTCGTGCAAGTTGTCTCAAGTGTTCGTTTATGTCTTAATTTTAAATAGAATCTTCCTCCAGCTTCTCATTTGCTGGATTGCTGTTACGAGTTCTGTCACCTATATTGATCCACTGTTTGGAAATCAGGGATTCTTTTTAAAGGCTAAAGTTTTGATTAATCTTCCGCATCTTTGTGATGCGTTCACTAAGCGTCGTAAAAATCAATTATTAGGATTGTGTGCATTCAGGCTAAATTGGAATGTCAAAAAAGTAGTAGTAATATTGATCTCACGAAGGAATTTTTTTCGCAAAATTATTAAGATGAAGACCAGTTGTCTCAAAACATTAGATTAAGTTGCCTCACTTGCCAAAAGTGAACTGGTGTGCGTGAGCTGATGGCTGCCTAGACGCCAAGCTAATGTCAAGGGTCAGCCAGTGTAAGAAGATCCTTGTAAGTACCAAGTGGCAATAACTCATCACGAATGTGTGAGATGACAAGTGTTTGCATCGATCAATTCTAGAAATAACCTTACAATAAATAGACCCGGCTGTAAAGAATGGTAGAGACTGTTTAGGGCAAGGGCAACAAATCTCGGCATCGTTCCATAATCTCAATGCACTACTCAAACATTGAGTCGATTATTAATTATTGCATTAAAAAATTGACAAGTAGCATCGAATTCTCCTCTCTTTTACAACTCACTTAGAAGTCAAAATCATGAGTTCTGAGAACGGGGAAGGAATTTTCGATGGGATCGTCTGCATTGTTTTAATTAGTGGGGAAAAAAGTCAAAATGATGCATTTTTTACTTTTGTATGATACTACAATGTGGGGTGTGCGATAGACTTACCTCCACGTGGTGCACCCTGGGCAACGTATACTCATACGGCAAAAAATCTATTAACCCGCAGTTGACTTCTGACTTCAAACTACCATCACCCCCATTGAATTTGGTATTCGACTACTTCCACAGTACTCACCTCACCTTTTTTCTACCTCTGTGTCTGTCTCTTTTACATCTTTAAAACACTCTTCTGTTCACCCCGCCCCCTTTCGATTTATTTCGCCCTCTATGAAGCCTGAAGTCAACTAAAGGGCTAATGATAACCATCATAGAGCCTGTCATTTGATATAAATAAAAATAAATGACACTACAATGGTATTTAATTGGCTTAGTTTCGTTAAAAGACCTCGAGTCATCTGTTTATTCCATTTTCTTCAAAAATTAATATAAAACAAACCAACCTTTCTTCGACCCCGATTTTGAGGAAAACTTGTAGCGGCAACAGGTCAGAGCCTCGAAGAAGGCTTGCAACAAACTGAAAGGTGGTGGTAGAATAGGGGCGTCCTTGTATTCCCGGAGGAGGTAATACTTTGTCGATTTCCAGAACAGCAGTGATTTTTCTTGAATGTCCGAGAATACGTTACTGAAATAAATAGTTCAAAATACGCTTTAGCGGATTGCACAATAAGGAGTAAGTGCTTCCAAATCACACCATGGTTATAAAGTTACCTCTCAAAGTCCAACTAGTTACATAATTTTAAATTACAATAGAACTTATGCACCCCAAGCGTTGTACGTGCAAAGACGATAGCTTACGATTTACTTGATTAATGCCACCAAAACGAGATAATTCGTTCAATTTCAAGAGCTATAAGCTCATGAATCACAGTTCTATCAATCGACTCTAAATCAACTCTTTCGTTTCTCTTTATTCTCATTTCACGTACCTGAAGATGGCGATCAGAAGATTTACCAGGAGAACAACAACAATGAGCATGTAGGCAGCAAGAAGTAGAGGAACAATTGGATTTTCAACAGGACAATTGTTTCCATCCGCGTCTTTACCCTTACAAGCTTCATTTTCTCCTACGACGATTTGCAGAGTTAATGGTGTTATTTGTTAATCAGGAAAAAAAGGGGAGTAGGTTTTAGTATTACAAGACATTGGGATACCTTCTGCTTGCTCCAAGTTCAGTTCTCCATAAAGTCGATAGTAGGGGTAGTAGAAGATGTCTTTAAGAATTGAAGGCTTAAAACTTGTAAGATTGGGATACAACATGGCCTGAGATGCAACACCATAAGGAAGCAGGAATACTATCAACACGAGGATGAAAATGCCCAGTTCAATCAGCATTCTGAAAATCATCACAGCCTGAGGACCTAGCCTCCTATTCACAGCATACATTTGAAAGATCCGCATGAAGTAAAATATCACTGAAATTTAACGAAAGATATACCAGATATTCAAATGTTAGGACTCGCGATATCAATGCTACTTACATAGAACTGAGTAGCATGATTTGGCAATAAGGTAGGTTTCATTCAAGCCAATGCGTAAGCACATGGTCAATATTGTTGGTAATATCAGAGCTAAATCATAGCCATGCCATCTGTTATTGTGTAACCATTTCCTTAAAGATGAACTTGACGATTCTTGTCCTACTGTTACAATGAGAAGCTTAACAAATTGGAACATATGAGTTCAAAATCAACTTACACTTCGAATTGTTTCCACTGAGAAACATGCAAGATATACCATTAGCACAATCTCTAAGATTGAAATATGCCCTGGCTCCATTCCAAAGAGTATGGTATATGAGAAGAATATCAGGAAGATTGCGTAGAACGTCTAAAAATCATTTGATTAGTGACTCAAAGGGTTACTTAAAATACGCAAGTAGCATTTATTTTACCGTATTAACACAGAATTTCGTTCGCGGTGTATTATAGAAGTCGTGAATTTTCTGTGCACTAGAAATTTTCTCCATAGACAGAGTATCGTCCGCACCAGGTCTTGCAATACTTTCTTTCAAACGCTTATAAATTTCAGGATCACTCGAATCGGGAAGTATAATTCGACTTTTAGAGAACTTCACTAGATTTGTGAATATTAATGGCGGAAAGAGGTAGGCGAGGACTACAGAGACAGAATTTGCTTCAATTCCAGATTGCCAGTCAAGTTGAATGACGTGCTGGCAGGCATTTGAGGAGACAAAGTCTTGACAATCGGCATTCAGAGCTAGTGGAATGCAATGGAGCTCACCCCAGGTTGTAAATGGTCGAACAAGAAGATATAGAGATTTCCACTAAAAGAGTTAACAGTCATAGCTTTAGAAATTTATGCCTTGAACAAACCTGATGTTAAAATTTTCCTAATACATGCAGAAGAGTATACACGCAAGTGAATACCATGGCACGGACAGACAGCTCAAGGACATGCCAATTGCTTCTAAGTTACTTATTAGCTTATTTATCGTGGTCCACCGTACCCCATCCCCAATTCCCACCTTTCAACCTTCAATACCCTGGCCCAAACTTTGCTCATGACATTATCATTCAATATGGGGAATTGTGATGAAATGTTTGTTGAAACATCGATCAGAACATTGGACATATTCAAGAAGTTAAATTTTGAGTTTATTATTTTCCGATAACTCAGTATCTGCTATCTTCATCTTCATTATCGTTCAACAATTTCTCCATTCTTCTAATAAGTCCAGTTTTGTTTCAGGGAGCTTCAACCAATAGGATCACTATGACCAGTGTATGCATCGCTGTAATCGATATATTTGAATTTCTATCAAGACTTGCCATTTTATCGCAGTGAATTTTTAAAATTAAATCTGCTTTATTAATTATTTTTACAAAAAAACCTTGTTGACTGGATGCTAATTCATGCATTTATTTAAAACATACTCCCACTGAAAACTTTACTACACAATTCTGTATTCTCTTAATTACAAATTTTAAACATGAACCCTCTAACTGTGAATAAGCTGTTCAGACCTGTATAGAAGGTTCAAACATGAGTTTAAATAATGTGCAGCTATTATGTTAAGGTTATTTTAAAAAAATTTTCTGCATGAACTGTCTTAAATTTTAGTCATTGATATTCACCTCTTTTACAACAATCGACTTTGCCAATGACTAAGTAGATACTGAAAATTGTTTCTTTAGGGTTTTAAGAAAGTGGATTGTAAGAGAGTACCACCATGGCATTGAGTATAGGATATTCAGGGTCCAATTTGTGTCATAAAATCCAAAAAAATTTACGATCTCACCACCGAAAAGCGGAAAAACGCTTTTTACTTGATAACATGTCGCCTAAAATTGATTGGGAGTATTTTAGGAAGATAAATGGAATATAAATGAATAAAATTTCAAGTTTTACGTCATATAAAAATCGATATTCTCAATGTATCGACGACACCTTCGTCAGATGACTAATTCTATTACTAATTTAGAAAAATAGATTTTTTATAATAGTGCGAAGTAATAACTGTGTCGAAATTTACTTACCATTATCTCTATTTTAGAAGATGGGTAAAATGTGTGCTGGCTACAGAAATGTTAGTATTACTGAATATATGCTACTTTATATATGGGTTAATTATAGAACCGCCAAGACATGCCGAGCCAAATAGCAAAGTTATTTGCACGATGGCAACAAACCGACCAATCAAAGCGCAACACAACAACTCACTTGTGATTTTTCATAACAAAGTTCAATCATTGTTTTAGCGGATTGTTCAAAATAGTCTTTTTGGCCGGCTAGAGCACGTCGGCCTTCCGTATCATAACCTGGTAGGGTGGATATCATCTTTTGATAAATATTGCAAGCAATTATGCTCAGTGGCAATGATTCGTTTGCATTTCGCCAGAATATTAACGCCATCTCATGACGATTGTTCAATATTGCCCAAATGAAAAGTTCCTTTTTTCAAAAGCCACGAAAAAAGTAATCGCATTTACTTTTGCTTAAATCGGAAAATAATTATCAAAATCTTCAACGACCTACCTGCATGGGCTGAGGAAACATCGTTTTGCTGTTTGCAGGCTAAAAGAACGAACACACATTAAGGTAACCTTATGTGGAACCATCGTAAAGGCGACTTAAACACGTCAGTGGAATCGATGAACTTACAGTAATTTCAGCGTAATTTTCACTCTCAAAATTTCCCAGCATTAGCCTCAGGAGTTTTTTGACTTTACGAAGGTTGGTCCACTCAGCTTGGTAAATCTTTTGTTTCTTTTGTTTAAGCATGTCTGGAATGGTCATGGATTTGCCTTCTGTACTCGACGAAGATGATCTAGTATCTGCAGCTGTAGTCATTTTAGCTTTCCTGACTGCATTGGATGCTGTGGGGGCTTTTTGAATGCCATACATTTCAAAAGAGCGTCCAAGAATTGTAGGATCATCGATATGGTTGTAAAGTGTGTTTAGGGTGCTCATTTTAAGGTAAGTGGGTATTTCGACCACTTCCTGTTCAATCATCACCTCTATGAATTCGCATTGATTTTCCAGCAAGGCTGCTGTTACCAGCTCATTAATTTGCCCTAAATGGATATAAGATATTGTAAAAATAGATTCTGTTTTTTGTAGTTTCAATAACACACCTAGATAAAACTTCTTACAGGGAGTACTAATAATAAAATAGCAAAAAATGCATTTGTATCAACACTACTAACAATTGGTCTAGTTGTCAGTCAAACTCATTTGTTGTGAAGTCATTAAAATTGAGCACGAACGACTCCATGAAGATCGAAGCTTTCTCAACTATCATGACCACTATTTTCGTCTCATTACTAATAAATATGGAAAATTTTTTGGCAGAGTTCAAAAACCAGTTTGAATCCAGATGTCCTGAAGTAATGACATGATTTCCAAAGGTAAAAATTGTTACGATACTTTGTTTTATTAGAGAACATTTTACGACTAGAGTAAATATAAAACTGCCATTCTTGGATATGAAAAGTTCCAAATGAAACCACGGCATCATTCGAGAATGTCTTTACTCGTATTTGGCCAATTCAAATTAAAATAAGCATCAATTTCTATTCCTGCATTAATTCTTTGAAGAAATTTTAATTCGGTGGGAACATTGAGAGATAACACACTCAGCTAATCGACGCTTATAGCACTCCAATTATAAGCAACCTTGTCAAAGCCAATGAGAGCATGGTAGGTGCTGATATTCTACAAAACTTTCCGAGTTATGGAAGTCGGATTGAATGTGTCCCAGCTAATGGCATCGACCCTATCACCAAAAAAACTGCACAAATTTCGTCTTTATTTGACTGTTAAAATTGTTTAAGTGGTGAGAAAAGGTTGACATTTACTAGGACTTGGTGACCATGGTATTAAGAGGGCAATCATACATCTTAATGATATAGTCTCCAACTCATTTTATTATATATGAGATAATTAATTTAACCTACTTCCAATATAATCTTCATAAATACTCTCAATTTAACTTTTTAACGCTCTTAGGACCATATGGTCCTCTTTCAAAATGATCTACATTGGTACTAGACTGGTAACAGAAGGCGTTATTCCCGTTTGAAACATGCTCAATAAGTGTCTATATCTCTCGCCTGACACACCACCAAAATTCATTATATCTGCTTCAGTCTGTTTGTGAGACACGCATGAGTGCGTTTGGATGCAGTTTGGCTTATTGGAGCCGAACTATTAATTCATTAAGAAATTAATTCACGCACAAAAAGTACCAGTAGGTATTTACTTATAATTGTGCAGACAATTCATCCTGGGAACCTTTTGTTTTAGTTCATTATTTCTCCTCTATGTTTTCATCTGCTAACTGCCTGACCTCAATAGTGGTGCCTCATAGGATGACATGGTCTTACCAGTGAACACTATGTGCTGAAAACATATTTTGCAAATTAATAAATTTTAAAACAAAAAAGAGGCAATTAACTTACCACCATCGAGAGCACTCCGAAGTTTTGGGTTCTCTATAAGCTGTTGCTTGATCATATCAACACAACCAAATTTGAGAGCGATGTTACATTGGTCCACAGGATTCATTGCAGAGCATTTAATAATGGCTTTAAGGAATGCCTTGTCAAGACTTTCAACTCTCGACTCAACTCCAAGCGCGAAGTAGCTAAGGAAACGCTCATTCGCGGCGATATTTTGAAGCAATTCAATGCCTTTCTCCACCGTCCAGTCAGGATTGGGACCTTCTTGGGAGCTCTCCAAAAGCTGCTCTAACATCTCCCTCATCTCATTAATTTGCGTAGCAGAAAGACCTCGAGACCTAAGAAGGTGATCGGTGAATATTATAACTCACAGACCTTTTATTTGCCTTGTATTGACAGATTCGCTGGAGAATTTCGGCTGCTCCGCCTGTAGACCCACAGATAATGATAGGCATCCCTTGTGACGCACGATAAGCAACATTTTCGATAACATCAAATCCCCCTCCTAGAACCAGTGTTACAACTGGCACTCCACACCCTCCACCTAAGATAAGAGAAATAATTTAAATACCAAAAAACTAATAACCTGTTTGTGGTGTCGCTATTAATTGGTCTATCTTATCACGGTATTGGAAGATATTTGAACGTTGGTAGTTATTTCTCATTCCATTGTCCACCAGAATGTAGTGAGTGTGATTTTTATTGAGAGAAATAGCCTCGTTCGGAATCACAACATTACTCACACCGTATGTGATATGAGCGTTTGGTTTGGAGTACTGAAATAGACTATGAGAGGGCGGTAATAGTGAGCGAACTTACGACAGATTTTACGAGATTGTAATGACTCCTAACATCACCCCATGGAGTCACACCAATGCAAGTGATTTTTGGAGACTCCCCATTCTCCTTGATGAAATAAGTTTCAGCAAGGGATATAGCCTCGCTGACAACTCTAGCCACCCCACAGTTCAAACCGAATGTGGTTATCCATGCGTTGGTGGCACTAACAATATTTATCAAGCCCTCACAAAACACGTCTCTCTTCTTGCTATCAAAAATTGCGGAATCCAAACCCCCAAGGACGGAGATGCAAAGCAAGGGTGCTTCATCTTCAAGAAGCTTCCAATGCTTGAGCATTAGCTCAATGACCTTTCTTGGATCGTCGTCATCCGATACTCGAACGTACTAGAATAATTAATAAGACACTGAAATCAGACCTCACCTCTGAGGATTTATGCAAATTTTGAATCCCGGTGTAGAAATCTACTACGCCATAAGCGTTTGTGGGGCCCATTGAGGCGATCAAATAGGGCATCCATTCCTCGGAAAAATAATCAGTTTCTTCATCAAAATGATGAAATTCCATTTCTCCACAACCACATTTGCTAAACAATGCAAGTAATGGAAATTGTGATGCCTACAAGGTTGAACCGTCTTCTGTTTCGATTGGAATGAATAGTTGGCATTCCTTGTAAGTGAAATTGCTCTTAATGAAGTCATCCTTTGATTCAATGTTACTTCCAGCTCCACTGCCATCCATGACTGCTGTAAGATAGTGATGACAGGAGAAAAATTATAGTGAAGAACAAAAAAAGGTTTCATTTCTGAGTGCAGCTGACTGACCAATACAATTGACGATTATGCTCTCATTGGCTGTACTAGGTGAGCGGTGAGATTCACATTCATACGTGCGATCGATAGTATAACCAAAGAGGCAACTCAAATCAACACAATGACTCATTTGAAAACACAGTGAGGAGCAATTAAACTAAGTCTTGGATGCCTTCTTTTGCTAGGTGCCAATACAATTTTTTTAGTGATTTGCTGTTCTTCTGCCCAAACGAATAGAGATAGATTGAAACGTGGTCACCAATAAGCTTGTTCGATGCCCAAAAACCTATGCTTTCTTCTGATATCCAAAAAATTTAAGCGATTTTTGAAATGCTTCTTTATAATGGGAAAAACTTTGACTCAGTGCTCTAAAATGAAATATCTATCAACATCTCCAATGCGTCATCAATTGCAAATCTGATTTGTTAGAAAATGGTGATTTAAAAAATAGGGCCTTTAAGTTACTTTCCCTTACGTTCCAATATATTTTCATCAGAGGATTTGTCCTCCCCTCTAATCCGTATCCCCGACTCAACCTTTTGATACATTTTCTTATTTGGGGTTGCCTCAGACAAATGTGTCGACTAAATCATGCAACTTGCACTAAATACATAATTTTCATTATATTTTTTTCTTGAGAAAAAATTATAAACCTGTGCGAATGCACCTATGAGCATAGGCTAGTCAAATATTAGCTGAAATCTCCAATGGCGAAGGTTGGGGGTTGTAAAAGTGACATTAAAAAAGGTTATCTTTATTTGCAGCATAAAACTAATAAACAGTAAAATAGACAGATTCATATCATTGTGTGGTATTTTTGTCTTCTTTACGAAGCACTATATCGCATGTGTTGCTTCTTGTGCTTGAAGAATTAAATATTACTTGAATATTTATCGTATTTGTACTTGTCATTGTCTTGCGTTATGGGGTGCTCGATAGACTTACCTCCACGTGGTAACCCTTGGCAACGTATACTCATATGGCAAAAAAGTATATTAACCGGCATTTGACTTCTGACTTCAAACAACCAGGACCCCCCCCCACAATACTCACCTTACCTTTTTCTCTACCTTTGTGTCTGTCTGCCTCTTTTACATCTGTGATTCGCTCTTCTGTTCCCCACCCCTCGACTTTCTGCTACTTTGATGAACCTCCCCTCTGTGAAGCCCGAAGTCAGCTAAATGGCTAATGATATCTATCAAAACGCCTGCCATGTGAAATAAATAAATATTGTCTTGCGTTATTGTTTATTTCACCCAAATTTTACACGATACTTAACACCTCTTTCGCTAAGGCGTCTTGTTATATACATCAAGTACTTCAGGTATAAGAAATTATAAAATGTAAGTGATATGCTTATTTCTTAGAAATTGTTGAAACCCCCCCCCCCCTCCCCACTAATTGAACCTTTAGCAGAAGCTTCACCTATGTGACTGCTCAGTGGGTGTTATTAAGTTGCGACATCACATACAACTAACTATCTTCTCGTAGAGTTCAGTGACCAAACGGTCAAACATTGGCCCTATCTGAATCACCATCAGAAATTGCATTCCCTTTTTTAATTTTAATCGCCAGCCTTAAATGAACTCCTCATTCCTTAAAATTATGTTTAAAGTCGAAGTGTTCTAAGTAAGATAATCGTCTGTTTGCCAACCCCTCAATATTGTCAATAATTTTTGTGGTGGTGGGGGGGGGGGGGGGGGGGTGGATGATTGACATATAGTTTTTAAGACTGTAACAGTTATTTGGTGTTTTTCTCTTTCGAAAACCCATCATTTTGCTAATTTTTAACTAAGCATCTCAACTTGCCTCCATTCGGCTTTACCTTTCAAGGTCAATCACATTTGGCCTTGCCAAATGATTGGCGGGATAATAGATCGCAACGGCAAGGCAAGACTTCCAAATATCTATATTCTTGTAGCAAATAACAGAGGAAAGCAGAAAAGGATAGTTTCAAATAAAGGGGGGCGTGTAATGAGCAATCCTTGTTAGCAGAAAAGGTTTAAACCATACATATAGTTTTAATTTATAGATACAAAGATTGGTTGGTGGAGTGATATTGTTAGCAAAGTTTGCTATTACCTACTTATCACTAACACCACTTTTGATCGGAAACTTTGTTTAGGGTCTTAAAGCATGAGGCGTCTAAGGTCTGAGGTGAATTCGGGAAAACAATGCTAAAGTCTGCAACATTTACTTCTTGCCTCGGACAGAGTTATTTCTTTCTGATAAAATAACTACTAACTTTTTGATTGCTTTCAATGGCCCTTAAGTTAACTTCGGGCTTCACAAGGGGGAGGAGCATCAAAGTAAAAAGTCGAGAGAGGGGTGAGGGGGAATAGATAGGTGTTTCAAAGATATAAAAGAGACAGACACAAAGGCAGAGAAAAGGTAAGGTGAGTACTGGGAAAGGGGTCGAATGTGACATACAGTGGGGTCATGGTAGTTTGAAGTCAGAAGTCAACTACCGGCTAATAGACTTTTTGTTGTATGAGTATACGCTGCCCAGGGTGCACTGCGTGGAGGCAAGTCTATCGCGTACACCATACTGCCCAATATAGATTTTTGATGAAATGTAAAAAAGTTTGAACGGATCGATCGGGTGCGATACACGGTTCTAACGTTCTAAAAAGTAGGCGAACAATAGCTCATACTGTTAACGGCAGGTTTCCACCATGCAATTTGAGCCCTCTCAAGAAATCACTAATTTTGAATGATGACGATATATTAACTAAGTGATTTCGTGCAATGCTATTTAACCTAAACATTGTAAAGTTCTAAGATTAATAATTTTGGGCAGGAGTCGAGCGAAGTTCGAATTCATGTTTGAATGAATCACAATTTTGATTTCTTCATTAGTTTCAGGAAGCTTTCACGCATCGACAGGCAAGAAAAGCATTGAATGTTTGTTCGGAACCTTCCTCTTCCACTTATTGTCAAAAAAATAAAACAACGAGGGTGATCTTGGTTAAGAGGACAAACAAATGAAGAGGCAATGGACAGTATCTCCATTTAATCAAACACTCTTCGAACTTTGTGCATCCAATGCTCAATGTCGGTGAACATGAAGTACTTTCACTGAGACACAGCTACTTGAATCCTTTCATATTTCATATATATATATATATATGCATTGCTACCAATATCACAATTCATAAAGTTTTTATCTCATTAAGGCGTGTTCTCTCAAGGATCTTCTGAACCTTTTGAACGCACTGTCTAAGTTGTTACAAGCTAAGGCAATTCGTCCAACATGGGTGCATTGTGTGTAAGAAGTTGACGAACGCAAGTGCCAATAAAAAATGCTTCCAGTGTCCTTATTTTAGTCTTTTGCTTTTAAAATGTAATGGGGTAAATGTGCTAAGTTGGAAGTCACGATTTAAATTGTCAGTTCCAATGATCATATAAGAAAGATAATGTTATGTGAGTTCTTCGTGGAAGGACTTCTCGAATGCTCTTTCTTTAATCAATTCATATCCTTTTAAAAATGGCGTCTTATAGTGATACCAACGGGATGCTTAGGTGGCTTTATGGGAGATAAGACGATCCACGATATTGTCAATCTTGTTTGTTATCAATATACATATAATAAATTCTACCGTCCACTGTACTTCCAACACAGGAAAAACTTGCTGCTGAGTATTTTGTAAACTAAATTACTATAAGTCAATGAAATCATGCTTCCACCGTCATAAGCTTCTTGTCCACTTTTACGTTAAGTTAATTAACAATTGACCTACACCAGGAGGATGTGAGAAAGAATGCTGAAGTATAGTTGTTCAGCAAAGAATACGTTTCAACTCAAACCTTTTCGTATTATTTGTATTTATAATAATAAGTCTGTAGAGGTTCGACTAAATCTCGTATTAGTTAAGATCTGCTTTAGCAAGAAGCTAGTGGGGAGGACAAATAGTCTTTCTCTCCTGACTAAATTTCCACATTGCAGTGAGAGCATCATTGCCACAATGGGTCAAGCCTTAGCCATCGACTTCTGCACTTTATACCGCTCTCTCTCTCTCCCTCCGCATGGTTAAAATCTCTCGATTCCGCATAACTATCTGTGCTCATTAAAGCTCTCCAACCAGCGATTTCGTCTCTCCATGAAATGATTGGTGTGATAATTAAAGGGAAGAATAAACAGAGAAGAAAGGGACAATTGAAATACTAACTAATTCACTTAAAAATTGGATCGAGGGTGAGAATTTGGGAAAGAGGTGTATAACTTTCAGGTTATTGTAAAATTAGAAGAGCGTTGTTAAGCACTAAAACGAATGTGTTATGGAATCCATTCTAATTAATGCGATTCCTGTTTCGTTAACATTTCATTTCATTTTAAAGTGCAGCATAGAACTCGGAATAAGTATCTAAATCTTCACAGCCGTCAACGTAAGTTGTAGGTAATTGAATGCCTAATTTATTCTTCACGCACCTACTGCACCTGATATGCCATTTTTTGTTCTGAATAGCTTCTAAGGTGGCAGTAGGAGCAAGTTTCTGCCTTTAGAGACAAGTTGATCATTTCGAAACAAAGCAAATTTTGGAACTTGGAGTTTTATGTCCTGAATGCCGATCACATTTGCGCTTACTTGGAGGTACGCACGATGTTCGCACTTATCCAAAGTATTTCCAGCTTTTAGCTGCCTCTCTGGGACCTTTTGCATTCTGATGCTCCATATGTAATTTGAGTTAACGAGCTCTCTAATTCACTTACGAATTCCATTTAAATGAGAAGAACACAAATTGATAGCAAATGTGAGAGTGTTGAGGGGGTGGGGCAGGAATTCACGTACTGTGAGTTAGTCAATTAGTTGAATATCATTTTCAATAAGCGAGGATTTAATTGGGTTCAACACTTCAAGATAACGAAGTGAGTTAATGTTTGCCCGTCTGAAAAACATTTTCATTTTTTTTGATAATTCATCTCACTCAATTAATTTCTAAAACTTCAGAAATTGAAGAGTGCTGAGAGGTCAAGGTTAGAATATACACGCATCCAAATTATCAATGACAATAATATGATACAGGGGTGTACCACAGAGGGTATTAGAAATTGGCACACAATCAACCTAGTTACTGTTTTGATCGAACCAACACATTCACGTTTAGGAGTTAAGGATAAAGTTCAAGACTAGCTAAACGCATTCTTAAAGCTCTTGTAAACTGTATACTTCTAGATCAATGGAAGCATCTAAAGTACATCTCATAGACTTTGCGCTCATTCATGTTAGTACGCCTTGGGTGTGCGGTTGACTTACCTCCACGTGGTTAAATACGGGGTGTGCGATAGACTTACCTCCGTGATATATTTAATGAATGGGGTGTGCGATAGACTTACCTCCACGTTGTGCGAAATAGCAATGTGGGGTGTGCGATAGACTTACCTCCACGTGGTACGCCCTGGGCAATGTATACTCATACGGCAAAAAAGTCTATTAAATGGCTTGGAAACGTGACCCATACGGCAAAAAATCTATTAACCGGCAGTTGACTTCAAACTACCATCACCCCACTGTATGTCATATTCGTCTACTTCATGTCATATTCGATTACTTTCACAGTACTCACCTCACCTTACCTTTCTCTCTACCTCTGTGTCTGCCTCTTTTACATCTGTGATTCACTCTTCTGTTCTCCCCTTGATTAATTGTGGCTTTGTCAGTTCCTCCTCTTTATGAAGCCCGAAGTCAACCTAAGGGCGAATGAAAACTATTATAAAGTCTGCCATTTGATATAAATAAATAATGCTTAGCATTGCAAAGGGGCTCCAAAGAATTAAATCATATCTAGGCATGACTGATCGAAAATGCGCATTCCGATAATTCTAATTGATCTTCTCTGGCATTAATTCAATTGGTCCTTTAAACCTGAAGAAGTAAATAGGATTAATAACCTGTTAATGACTCTATGACCCTGCTGAGGTGGATCTGCTGATGATTGAGTAGTATGAGACCGTAAAAATATTTGTCGGAATGAGTCAGGTAATGAAATGTTCACTAATTGCAATAATTTGGGAACGATTTTTTGCCTTACTATCATTAATTTATTTAAATTAAATGCCAGGTGTTTTGATAGTTATCATTAGCCCTTTAGTCGATTTTAGGCTTCACAGAGGGGGAGCAACATCAAAACGAAAACAGATAGAAGAGTGTTTCAAAGATGTAAAAGGGACAGACACAAAGGTAGAAAAAGGTGAGGTGAGTACTGTGAAGGTAGTCGAATATGACATACAGTGGGGATGATGGTAGTTTGAAGTGAGAAGTCAACTGCCGGTGTATAGACTTTTTTGCCGTATAAATATACGTTGCCCAGGGTGCACTACGTGGAGGTAAGTCTATAGCGTATCCCTTTTAAAGTATCATTATTATTATAGTAATTCCACCCAGCCTTTCTATCAAATTGTAAAAGATTTTTAAGTTCCCGAATTCAAATACATGACTTGAGATCAAAGGGCGGTTGAATTTTGTTGACTTCTTTCAAATTCACTAAAATATTTGATCCAGCAAACGTGATTAACGACAAAAATGTGACAATATTTAAGACTTGGTGAATACGAAATATGAAGCCTCCTGGGGAAGAAGGAGTGTTTGCTCACCTGAGGGCACTCAAAAATATTTGTCATGGGAAAATACCTTTAAGAGATAATGTTAACAACCTTATCTATTGTAGACACATGTTTCGGAAACTGCACGCAGGTGATTATAAATGGGAAAAAATAGTCTTACTAAACTATTTTCAATTTAAAATTGTACTAATTATAATTAAATAGCAATAAATATACTTAATGTGAATAGAGATATCCTCGATGTTAAAATTTAAGCTGCAGTTTTCTCCATCCAGTTGGAAAACATCGGAAGATTGGCTAGTCAAACGACGCTTTCTTTACTTATGAAAGCACATGTGCTTAGATAGATTTCGTTACCTGGAAAAGAATTGGATCAAGGTTAGCCAATTAAAATGACAGAGAGGCGACTTCTTTCACAGGAGAGAACTTGAAATCAATGCTTTATATTAGCAGTTCAGGGGTGTGCGATAGACTTACCTCCACGTGGTGCACCCTGGGCAACGTATACTCATACGGCAAAAAAGTCTACAAACCGGCAGTTGAATTCTGACTTCAAACTACCACGACCCCCCTGGTCGTCATATTCGACCCCTTTCATAGTACTCACCTTACTTTTTTTCTCTACCTTTGTGTCTGTCTGCTCTTCTGTACCCCACCCCTCGACTTTCTTCTACTTTGATGAACCTTCCTTCTGTGAATCCCGAAGTCAGCTAAATGGCTAATAATATCTATCAAAATGCCTGCCATTTGAAATAAATATTAGCAGTTCAAGGTCGTTATTGCTTGTGCACTATATTCAGAAGATCCGGATTTGCTTGGGTAGGTGTCTTAATGAATATCAACTACTATGCAGAATAGAGTCTCTTAGTTACTTCATTTTCAGTCACCTTCTTCTTATGATTTCATTCCCGTCTAAATCCCTAATATCTTCCAAATTTGAAATACTTAGAAACCTGTGCTGAGAGACAACATAATAACCTTAGGATTAGGAGACTTTTGGTCACTTTCAAGTTTATTAATTAGACGTTTCGTTTCGAAGGGAAGTAAATAGGAAATATATTGGGAAATAACCGAGAGAAGCTATTTCATACAAAGGCTTTATGTGAGACTTATGAGGAAATATATCAGCTTAAACAAGGTAGAGGTAGAGGGAGAGAGAAAAGAGACTTCCATTGGGTCTCGATTTAATGAGGTGTTTAGATACACGGGGCGTGTGAGATACATTTCAGAATTCTTTATTTACAAGTTTATTTTCCTTCGGATGTATAGAAAATTTTCGAGCACCTCACAACCCCTTAGGAAGTAAAAACCCATCTTCATATCTCTCATGATGATATATGCTGGCTATTAAATATTGAGAGTACAGAAGCTGCTCCTTGCTTCATCAGCCCTGTGAAAAGCATGCATCATGAAGTGGAGGATTGCGATGGAGATGCTACGGCTTCTGTTGACGGAAGAAAGCGGCACAACGAAGAACCTGATTTGATTGCATTTTCATAGCAGATTTTTAAGGAACTCTGTAGGAGGTTGAAGTGTTGGAGGATCTTGATATGGTAAATTGGACCTTGTCGATACAGTTAATTGAATGTTTCAGCCTCTCTCATCTTCTACTACCAACTCGTACAAACTTGTCGCAATTGGCTTGCATGCGGACCAAAGGACACGACTCGTGTCACGGAGACTAAATTTCTCCAAACTGTCACGGTCATCAAATGGGTTTCCTACTCCGTCACGAATGATGTTACGGTACTTGATACCTCCCTCTCCTGGCTTCAGGTGACAGTGTAGAAGTAAATAGATAAGTCCCGGATAATGAATATATATATATATATATATATATATATATATATATATATATATATATATATATATATATTGACCACTATCCATTAACTTGGCGCTATATATGAAAGATGGATGGAGGAAGCGTGAGCCCTTGGTGCTACTACAGCAAAAGAGGCCACTCCGCGAATGGGAATTGAACACGGGTCTTCCACTTGACAGGCGGAGATACTCACCACTATACTATCGCGGAGAACACTCCACTGTCTTACCTCACTGGTCATCTACCACATACCCCATACCACCTGCCAACTACCACCCTCCACCCTCCACATTCCAATTAATACTATCACTTAGCACATTACCCTCCAGCTTCCCATTCCTTCCATGTAGGCGGCGAAAGGAATTACTTCCTTCGACACGGGGACCTTCCGCGTGTGAGGCGGATATGAAGGCCACTACACCCCGAACCTCCCCCTCCCTAGAAAGTGAAGCTAGAGGGCCCTTTGTGCTTGGTTAAAAAATAGCCTCTTATTTAAATCCTAGATATGTTTAAAGAGACACCGATTTTAGCTACATTAAGCATGCGATTAACTTAGTGCAGGCCATTATTTATCACGGGATTACGATTTTAGTACCTTTCTCCAGGTGAATTAAGAATAAATGCCTATGCTCATAGATTTGATTTCGTCACCATAACCCCATGAATGCAGTAGCTTGGTCCGGACCGCCGATGCTTGAAAGTGTGCTTACAACCTCAAGGTCAAATATGCCTACAAGCTCTTAATTGGTGAATATATGTGCGATCTAGCCAATCAAGTGCAAGCCTGAATTGTACTGGTTCATTGCGTCCTCACCACGTAATTGCCTTCTTTTAATCCATTGGCATTAAAAAAATTACCGTACACAATGGATACGTCAAAAGCTTCAGCTGCTCACAAGGATCATCATGAAGATGAAACAAAGGAAGAGTTTGTGAAAAAATGCTTCACTTACAAAGAGTGTCAGCTTTTTGTTCCCATCGAAGGTGATGGTGGTGAGACTTTGTAAGTTTTGTCCCCAGCCCTATATATTTCCCTCTTTTAGTAAATGTGGCTGTGGTGAACTGGAACTTCATCACTACAACGAAAATGACACCGCCTTTGCGGAAGAATGGTCACCTGGTTTGATTTCAAATCTCGGTCCAACAAATGCCTATGGTGTTCTGGATTTCTATCGAGGAATTAAATTTCTGAACAAATCTGCTGAGGTAGATACCAACTCTAATGTGTATTTTATCCTATTCCACAGTATGTTCGCATTTCCAACGATGATTCTTCAAGGAATGTCATTAAATTAATGGATAAATATTGGCAGATTTTTGATGCTCATGTTCCCGAGTTGTGCATTTCAGTACTTGGTGACTTCGATTCGAAGCAACTTGATAGCAAGCAGACCGGTCCCTTCGAAAAGGGCTTAAGGATGACAATGCTGGCAACTAAAACTTTTACAATAACACATGGTCTTAATGCCGGAATAGCGCCTATTGTTGGCAAAGCTGCTTCAATGGTCGACGCTAATCATATGAGGCCACATTGTATTGGTATTTCACCTTGGGGCTATGTGAGAAGTCATTATAACCTTGTCAGATCCGAGGTAAAGTAATTGCCATTTATAACTCGACTGTCAAATAGCATTGCGATGTTAAATCCCATGTGGAATATGGAACTAGTGATGTTGTTAATCCAAAAGAGCCAATATCTTTGAACGAAGACCACACCAACTTTGTGTTGGTTGATAACGGAATGCGAAATAGGTTTAATCTCGCCGATGTTACAAAGTTTCGTGATGAAGTTGAGAGGTTAATGGCAATTTCATCGAAAGGTAGAGTAATTTGAAATTCTAACTCCGTTATAGAAGGGGGTTGTGGAATACCTGTAATAACCGTAGTGTATGGCGGAGGATTTGATGTTGTAGAAAGCGTGTCCGAAAGAGCTGTTAACGGAATGCCGATTATAATTTGTGAGTCAACTGGAAGAGCCGCCGATATCTTCCAGCGGATTATTCATTACAAGGCGCAGAATCCAAGGTAATTTCTCACCTCATTTTTATCTAGTCTTGTTAGTTTGGAAGGATTTTCTGAATTTCAAATGACTGAACTCAAACGGTCATTGAAGAAGCTCATAATGGAATGCGTTGATGATAAAATGCCAAACTGGACCGTGGAATATGGCATTAAGCTCCTCAAAAATGCTATAAACAGCGCTGTCAATTTTAAATGCGTCAATTTGATTGGTGAATATGGCTATTACAACCTGGACAAAGCTATCACAGACACTTTGATTGACCATACAGTCGATAAGATATCAGAAGTTGTAGGAGGTGACTCAAAAAGGAGACATGCGCATAAATAAATTGTATTTTTTAAATAAAAATTTTCTTTTCAAAGCGGATTTGACTCGCTCATGCTTTCTCATTTCTATTGAGTGCAATACTGACTATTAATAGAATTAATTGAAAGCTATTTTCGAAAATAGACAAACGAATACTTTTTTTGAAGCTGACGAACCAAAGACCATAGTTGCTGTGTTTATGCTCCTTCTCACAAATTGCTCTAAGTCACCTTTCATTTCAATCGATTTTCTTGGGGTGGGGTTGGGGGGGAGCATTGTTCATTGAGAATTAGACGGTTATTTGAGCTAAAACCTAATAACCGGTAGGACGCAGATGTCTTAAATATTAACAGCATGAAGATAACTTGTGTTTCGATGATAACTGTCAAAACGCCTGCCAATGGTAATAAATGAATAAATCTTTAAACAGTAAAATACGTTGGGTTGACTTAATATCATCTCAATCTCCATCCCCTCGTCTGAGTCAATTGTTGACTAGCGATATTGTGTATGGTCAGATATATCCTAGCATGCTAACAGTATGGAGGAGGTGTACTAGCAATGAATATGTGTGTTCTATTCAGAATGACACAACATCTGAATTCGAATACTTCCTTGGTTTTGATAAAACACTGAACCAAACGTTGAAAAAGTTGGAAGCAGGGTTCATTCACCTTGAATATCTAAGAAGATCACATGTACAACAAGAGTCACTACTGCATAGGAAACGTATCAAAAATTACCAAATTGCACTATTTACCTGTAGTAATAGAGGGATCGAAAGAGCCCTTCTAACGTATTAAGGGAATTTCACCACTCAACGAGTTGAAGATAGGGTTCAATTTTGGCGAGTATGGTATAGTGAGGATAACCGATACGTATGCTTAGGAACGGTAGAGAACTTAGGCTGGAAGTGAAATAAGAGTTGCACTGTTCTTGGAAGGCGTGAAAAGTTGGGGAGATTGGAGGATATTGACGGCATAAAGCACCAGAGGGTAATTAAAACTCAGATCTGTATAAAATGCTCCAGTGAATCGGTTGTCGTGTTTATCTGTTTACTTATCTTAACGCTGGTGCATTGGCGTTATTTCGAACAGTCATTAATGTTATTTTTTATTAACACACGAATATGTGTAAGAAGATCAATTAGTAAAATACATTAAACGCTTCACATAACAACTTTTTTATTTAAGAAACTTAATGAGTGTGCAGGCATAGTAATTTTAGTTCAAATTACCATTTTCGTCAGTAAATACATTATAGATATTTTTGGTGTGATCTAATGATGAATAAGTTCAATTTTCATGCAAGTACCATTTTGTTGTGACATGTTAGTTACATGGGAAATATTTATGTGCAGAATTCTTGCTTTAACATATCAGAATTTCTTTTACAGAAATTATTCATGGGTGCTCATTCGTGGCTTCTGACCTGAAATAAGGAACGGTTAAATATGCCAGGCGTATTCTAATAAGAACAAAAAGTACATGGTTCTTTAACAAATAGGGACTTTGTAAGGAAATGACTACGGTTTCAGTAACTATCCTTAAAATACCTAAAACGGGGTGTGGGGGTGGTCATATTTCAAAATAGAATGAATGCTTTGAAATGGAATTTTCCATGAATATTGTCGATCATCTATACAATGCTATACGATATACTATTTATCTTTAAGAATTTACTACAATGGGAAATAAAACTGATATTATAGAGCAAAGTATGAACGAAATAATTGTTGACGTGACCATTCTTATGACCAGCAGCCAATCCACTGAATTTCATGGGTTGTCAATGGGAGTAAATAGAGATTAAGTTTTATGAAGAAGTTCTGTTGGATCCATGTGTTCATTAAAGATCGTTAAAATCCAACGACAGCCTATAATTTAACAGTCACTGGTAAATAAAGACCAACGGTTTCGGGACTCCATTCTCTGTTAAAGCTCATATATCTCCATGACAATGGCGAGAAACCCTGATAGACTGTTACTGTCCACAAAAGTTACGTCGCCATCAGCAACTAAAGACCTTATAATAATAGTTTATTCTCATTAGAAAAAGGATTCAAGTAAGACTAAAGCCTCATCAAGTGTTCCTTAGCTGATAGATGTTATGAAGCCATTTTACCGAGCCCATTAGAGGATCAAAAATCTGAAGGATGGTTTACCATTCTCGGGAAAGGTATACACGTATGTACATCTGTGTTCCTAGTATTAATAGCTGTCGATTTCTACCAAACTTATTTTATTTAGTTCTGGTCTTTTTGAATAACGCGCTAGTGATTAAATTACTATTTTATAGTGCTTCTAAGTATCAGCATACTATATTTACGTAAGCGTTTCCTACAGCATCATTAAATAATGATGTAATTAAGTAAAGTAATAATTTTTGTTTTGAATATCTGCCAGAATGACAAAGATTTTATTTTAAATCCAGAATACTGAGTATGAAATGACTTTTTCTCAATTTCTGATGTCCGTTGTTCAAGTCATTTTGGACAATATTTGCAACTGCACATTGTCTGGTTAATTTGAATTGTAATACTAAACGAGCCAATAATATTCGAAATACGAAATGAATTAATTAGTTTAGTGATAGGAAACTGCTTTATCAAACCTCTGTTTACCTACTTTAATGATCTTATTTTGGTAATTTTTAGAAAGGAGGGCGTATACACTATAGTTGTTTACAATCTATTTATTGGCTTCTAAGTATAGAGAGGAAATATCTCAATCTCGCGAGTAACCGTAGAAAAGACTAAACATATGAAGTTCAACTAAAGAAATCTAGAAAATTAAGAAAATTTGTAAAATTTTTTAATACAGAATTTAACAAAATTGAAAGTATATTTTCCGATTTGCATATATATTTATAGAGATGGCTCATTCCTTCGCTGTGCAATAGTCAATACTGCAAACTGTTACCTTTTACATTTAAATGATGGATAGACGGCTCTTCACTTTAGGATTACAATTTCTGCCATTGAATATTTAGATATTTAAAATAGTTTAATTTCTTTTTATTTATCTTTAAAACTAGAAAAGGACACTTTATAAATTGTGAAAAAGTTACAAATATCGAAATATTCATCCTAGACTCATTGCATGACAACGGATTATATTTCCGCAAATTTTACTCAAAAATAACATATTTTGAGGTCAGTTCCAATCAACCAGATAATGTCAGATCAAAAGGAATATTTAGATGTTCCTTTCATCGAGAAATTTTCGTGCATATTCATGTATTAAGAGAAGAAGGCATTCAAGATTTAATATTTAATTGACAAAAACTGTCTTATTATAATTTTAATTAATAGTGGTCAGGAATCTCAAAGAACGGTTTAAATACTTATCATATTAGAATAAAGAAATTAAGAGAAATAATATTCATTTTTGTATGAGAGTAATATAGTTTTGTTTCTTATTTGTTTGATTAAATTGTTGTTTGCTCAAAGGCCTTGAAATTCACTTTCAATCTTTGGATTTGGGAAAGGTCAGGGTCGTGCCGTTGCAGCGTTATTTTATTTTTATTTCGTAAATATGATGGGGCCAGACCTTGGACGGATTGAAAAGGCCAGAGAAGAAAGAAGAAAACAGCTCTTGAAATGGGATGAATATGATCGTAGTTATCAAAATAATTTCCACCACAGAACCAGGAAGAAGGGATCGAATGGTGTTAGGTTCGAAAACAACCTAGTTTTTCTTGAAGCTGCCTCTAGAGGTGATTTAAACGAGGGTAAGTATTACATTCTGCTGTGTATTACAACCGTTTTTCTTATACTTGTAATATGTTTATGTGTTTATACAATTTTTAGTGGATTCTAGAATACTGTTGTTATTTTAGATGAAATTTATAAAGCAATATTTTGTGTTACGTGAAAAAATTTTGTTCTGCTCAGTGACAAAAAATAGAGTGCAAATTTTTGAATTCGTCTCTTATGTATTTCTGCAAATTCTATATTTTATTGGTTTATTCTATGAGTCATATTTTTCTAAATTTGACTCTAACTGTATTCCATCTTTCAGTTTACAGGCTAATATTCTGTGTTAATTTTATTGGTAGTCTCGAATAAAATGTGTCATCACTTTATTTTTTAATGTAAGGGTGGTGTTAATGAGTTTTTTTCTATTACAACATATGTGTTATGTTTTAACTTCAAATTTACCGGTTTTGCCTTTTATAAGTTTAATTCGAAAGCGATTGACTTCTTGACTTCTTTTTTTTCGTTTCTCTTTCCACTTAACTTGACAAGTGTTATTATACAGTTCAACTACCTCTGGCACCCCGGTTTTTTCATTATGATAAATATGTGACTTTGTAATGAACCTGTTCGATGATAGAAGACATGACTATTAGCAGAAATTCTTCTTATTAATTCTAATCATTGGCATTGTCTTCTCTAATTTCTAGGCTTTTTTGCTTTTTAGTATTAGCTGTGATATCAATGTACAAGTCTCTTTTGAGTTTTTAGTTGGAAATAAATAATGAATTATTCTCCTATCGTCGTTAATTTCCTATTTCGAATTTGTTAGCTTAACTAGTAATAATACTGTGTATGTCGTAAATTTTTTATCCATATTTCTGTCTTAATATTACATCTATTCGCATCCCAATATTTATTAAATATGGTTATGGTCTATTTTAATTCAAATGCATTTAGAATAAATTTCATTGGCTTTTTATTTGAATAAGATAACTGCCCTTAACTGTCATTTTATTTGAAGAATTCGTTTGATTTTAAACCCAAACCTAGACATTTTCTGCTCTGTTTCTTCGTTTTTTGTTTTTCAAAAAAATATGTGCATACTTATTTTAAAATAAATCATTTAGCTTCTATCTAAAACAAAAGTTAGTTTTTTGTTAAAACTATGTCTCCCATATTAAAGTGCTTTTTTGTAAAGTTTTCATCTTTCATGCCGAAAATTTGTAATTTTACAGTGGTCCGTCTCAAGAATTTGTGCTTCACTACATTCACATGAGTTTGTGACAAGTTTATTTTAAGTAATTCAATTCTGGTGACTAAGATTATTAATTGTGGAGAGCCTATAACTTTTCAGTAAACGCGAAAGGAATAGGCTGATTAATTCTAGTTATTTCCATCCCAGTCCATGCGTCGTGTTCGAGAGAATATGCAATCGATGCCATAATTATTGCACGTCTCTTCAACAAATGAATCAATTCCGTCGCGGATATAAATTACTTTCATAAAATTAAGGGGACAAATCGTAGAGAAAATTGATATCTCATTGTGAAAGCTGATAGCTCAATGCTCTAGCTTCATTCTTCCTTCCCGACTTCTCTCTTCCCTCCCTGCCTCCCTCCCCCTTCTTCCTCTTTCATTCCCTGTTGTGCTATGTCATGTTGTCCCCCCGCGTTCAGGTGCTTGCGCATGATTAAGACCTGACGTTTCGTGGATGTTACTACTACTTCTACTACTGTGTGCAGCAATGAATGAAAGAATACCCCGTCGGCGCGATCATTTCTATGAGAAGGTGATACACCGCACTTATATCGATTTCCGCTTAGCTAAGCGTGCACACACGAAGTTTATTATGAGTTATGCTAATATGTGCTTATTAAGCGACTAGGGAGGTACGTGTATACTGTTGGCACATCTCACACATGCTATTATCTGCTGAGGCCGATAAAAACGAAATTTTTCCCGCCTCCAGTAGTCTAATTAAAGCGAGGGACTTCACTTTTTCATAAACATATTTGTTAAAACTGAAATATATTTTCCCTGATAGAACAAGCACATTTACGACTTCGAATCATCAGGAGACATTTATCCATGTAGGAATCGAAGGTGGTTCAGTTTTAGGAAGTGTAGAGAAGCAGGCTAACTACTCTTACTCAAGGCTTCCTGATTATTCGATTAAGAGATTTTTTCAATTTAAATATTAATCATACTTGTCTGATATTATAATAATCTGAATGCGGAAAATCCAGTTATCATGATTTCAAAGCTTTCCTTTTTTGTTGGCGGTTCAGGTTTGAAGTGAGCACCTCACTGGAACCTTCTTTTCGATGATATCGGGGTTCAATACCTCTAATTTTACCTTCACGCCGATGTGTTTTGTTTTTCAGAATGTGTCTTCTCGGTTTCCTTTTAGAGCCAAGGTTGAAATTTCATCTACTCCCATCAATATGTACACAAATAATATGTATCTTTTCACGAGTGTATCGTTGTGATTGTTTGCGCTCCAGGTTCTTTTGACAGAACATTAAAACAATCGATAATTGGTAAATTCCCGCGCGATGATGCAATGTCAAAGTCAGCGGTTCCAAAGTAGCCTAGAAAATTATTACTTCTAGTCAAAATTAAAACAGGAAATTATCTTCGCAATAATTATACTCTAATTATTATTAAAAGGTTCTACTTAGGAGTACTTATTGCTTTATGAAACCACCCAAAATGAGGGATATTCTTTCCTGTTTTTGCCATATGAAGGTGCTTTTGTAACCTATTTCTATGAATGCTTTGTTCTAAGAAAATGTTATTATTACTATTATAGTTCAGAAACTGATAGACTCAGGGATTGATCCAGATGTTGCCAATGAGGACGGACTAACGGCGCTTCATCAGGTGAATTTTAAATTTTCTTAATTTTATCACTAATTGAATATCTCGTGCACTTTTGTTTTGAAGTGCTGTTTCTAAGTTATTATATGCAAATTTTTTTCTTTGCTTCACTTATCTTTGTGTTAATTGTTGTAAATTTTCTAGGTGTTTGCTTTCATGCACCTAAAGTCAGTCATTAAGTTTTTTTAAATAATGTACTTTTTTGTAGTTTTATTTTATTCTTTTTTTCTCCTTTTTTGTATTTTTTTACGTGATTTCACAAATTTTGTTGGCATTATTGAATTTCACTTCGTTCGTTTGTCTTATTAGTCGTGTAAAAACAGAATGATACTTGCTAAGTAAGGATTTATTCGGTATGAGTTAGTGAAATTAGACGAACTTAAATATTGCTTAACTAAATTTATTTATTTATATCAAATGGCAGGTGTTTTGATAGTTATCATTAGCCATTTACCTGATTTCGGGCTTCATAGAGGGGAGGAACGTCAAAGTCACAAAAGACGAGGGGGGGGGGGGGGGGGGGAACAGAAAAGTGATTCGAGCATGCAAAAGAGATTGACACAAAGGTAGAAAAAAGGTGAGGTGAGTACTATGAAAGTGGTGGAATATGACATTCAGTAGGGTCATGGTAGTTTGATGTTATAAGTCAACTGCCGGTTTATAGACTTTTGCTGTATGAGTATACGTTGCCCAGTGTACAACACGTGGTGGTAAGTCTACCGCACACCCCTTGCTTAACTAAATGCTTCCACTTCAATGCGTCTCTTTCAAAATGAGGATTGACTTATCTTAGATGATATCCAGCAACTTCCAGTTCCAACATTATCAGAGATGATGCTACTACAAATTTTTGGTCAAAAGGGCTCCGCAAACCCACTTTTCTATGGATACCTCTACTTTTTAAACCCTTACTGCATTACCTACCTTGTGAGCAAAATTTCGATTGACCTTAGCGTTGGAGTAAATAGGATGAAAATGGCACTTGATGTTGGGTTTCTACAGTCAAATTTATACACCTCTTTGGGCAATTTCGTAGGTCCGTTTTCACAGATCAATTTAACGTTTTTTTGTTGATGGATGACGACAGCGTATACCCCCACCCCCATAATCAAATTTTGGAGATTAGGCGTTACCGCCGCCGCCACTGCCGCTCGTATCTTCTAGGATTACAGAGTTTTAAGTTGGCTGATTTTCTCTCGTAAAGGCCTAAAACTTGAGGCGATTGGAGGCTGTTGTAAACAATTCGTCTTTTTCTTTCCTCAAACCATGAAATTTCATTGATTCTCTCTCTCCCTTGCTGCTTTGGCTCTTTTAACTCTAATTGCAGATACCCACCTAGCCAGGCCATGCGGTCTTAGTAATGTGTCATGTTTCAACTTGTCCTGTTCTCGCTGAGTGCAATTCTCTATTAAGTCTTCCTACAAGTAGTTGAAAAAGACCTTTCAAGATAAATGTCCACTGTAAAGATTGCGACTTCAAGCTTCCACTTTACCACTATGGTCAAATATGCAGTTATCAAGCTAATCACTAAATGATCATGTTTCGAATGTTTTTCGATGTCAGACACGTGTTGATACTGGGCACTTGTGATTTATCTACTCATCACGTGGTTGAAGCTCATATTTCTACGTCGTATATTTCTTCTTTTTTTCAAAAAAAATTAAGGTCATTGTTCAGTTAAAGTTACTTCCAATAATATGAGTTGGAAAGGAAGGTGCTTAGCTGTGATTTCGATCTCAAGAAATAATGAATGTTTTTCGCGATGATGATACGAGTATATGTGTTCTTTAGGCTTTAAGAAGTTAGCACGTCTGACTAGAAGGATTTCAAGCAAAAAGTTGTGCTTACGCGCCCGCTTTCTACATAGTATGCGCAGTATTTGAGAGTGCATATCATAAGATCCATAAGTTCATAAGATTGGCAGTTGGAAGGACTATCCTACACTTAAAAATTCGCAATTTTCATTTTTTCTTTATGTCATAGCCTTCAAAATTCCTCGTGTGTCATTGTAGCAAGTGTTTTCGAAATATGAAATGCAATTATCTTAATTTCTGTCATCACTTTTCGACTGCAATTGGTTATCCATATAACTGAATGTGTGCACCAATGAGCATCGACCTGATGACCTTTCACTTGATAGACTTTTTTGCCGTATGATGAGTATACGTTGCCCAGGGTGCACCACGTGGAGGTAAGTCTATCGCACACCCCTGTTTGCAAATATAATGCCATTTAGACGCTCTTATGAATTGCTAGTTCCCCCCCCCCCCCCTCGATATGTTTGCACTTTGACGCCATGGAGAAAAATCGTCAAGTTTTTTGCTCTTTGTTTTTTTGGATGTAGTGTTGTATCGATAACAATTTGGATATGTGCATCTTCCTCTTGGAAAAGAATGCCAATGTAAATGCCAAAGACAACGAACAATGGACACCCCTACATGCTGCCGCTACTTGTGGAAATAAAGAACTCTGTGGTATTCTCATTGATTGGTGAGCCACTTATCTCCATACTTATTGATTGTATCTACGTTACTATCATTAATTAGTTAATGTCATGCATTGAATAGAATTTGTCCATGGTGGAATGTCAAAGTGGTCCGTTTGCTTATAAAGGTCAAACGATTATGCCACTTTTTTGCATGTTTACTGCTCAGTTTGAATATTCGCTGTTCTTCTTGGAATTTCTAAGTGTTTATCCGTCGGCAGAATGTATCACCTCTGAATTGCTTCGAGCATAATCCAGTCAATCAACATACTGTCAATCAACTAAGAACAAATTTCGCATACTTGATATTTTTTAAGGCTGACTATTGGGAAAGCGGGCGCTCTGACCCCCATAGATAGAGCAAGATGTGGCTGATTTCTTTTTTGCAAATATCGATATTATTATTATTTCAAATGGCTGGCGTTTTGAATATTTATCATTAGCTATTTAGCTGACTTCGGGTTTCCCAGAGGGAGGAAAATAGAAGTGAGAAAAATTCGAGTGATTTGGAGCAGAAGAGTGATTCACAGATGCAGAGGAGACAGGCAGACAAAAAGGTAGATAAAAGGTGAGATGGGTACTGTGGAAGTTGTGGAATATGACATACAGTGTGGTGATGGTAGTTTGAAGTCGGAAGTCAACTGCCAGTTAGACTTTTTTGCCTTATGAGTATACGTTGCCCAGTGTGCACCACGTGGAGGTAAGTCTATCGCACACCCCACAAATATCGACATTATATTGTTCTTTTTACGCTAAATATGCCAATTCCTTTCAGAGTGCTTCACTTTGTTAGAGGTTTCAGCCATGACAGTTAAACCAAATGAAAGACTCCCTTGTTATTTCTTCCGACTTACTGTAGTTATGATTTTGTTTCGTAGCCATGAATGTTTCGTTGAAGCTTGCAGAGCGATTTTTCAGTATAATCCTTTGAGCAATTTCTCCATGTGTCTGATTGGGTGTGCTCAAAATGAGCCTAAGTGCAGTGTTCAGGAGGGCCCAAAGTCAATCACTAGCACACATTCTTTATACAACTGTGTGTGAGTCTTCGTAATGTCTGGTTGGCTACAAGAATATTCTGATTTCCTGTCCTTTGCTGGTTTCTAAAAACTGTCTGTCATTTTCAGACCGATTTATGGGACTTCATTTTCTTTCTCCTCTCCTTTCCTCGAAAATACTGACTTAAAGTTTTGTTGAACTCTTGTTGATGTTAATGACGAAATCGAGTCCCATTTTGTCGATTGTCTTGAGGGCTTTTCATCGCTAATTAATGAGACAAATGTGTCATTAATTTTCCATTAATCAACAATCGCGTGCATCCTCCACTTGAAATTTGCAGTTTGCCTTTTTCCCGTATTGTTTTATCGAATGTATTTCTAATTTTCTCACTAATGGGACACTGACTAGAACTTCGATTGACTTAATGACCTTATTGTCAAGTAAAAGGACTCTTGCTATCATTTCCTGTTTAGAACCTCTCTTAATAAAGTTAAAATTTATATCAATGCCAGTTTCGCTGTAGAAAAAAGCCGCGAATATATATTTGCTCTAATTTTGTCATTTGCCTTTTGTTAAATGATCCCCAATAGCACTCTTGATGCACCTTTGAGTCCCCTTTGAGTCGTTTCTAACTAGTAGAGACTTTGGTTTGATGAAAATGGTATGACTTGTCAATCTGTTTACTCTCATTGTCGTCATTGGGCTTCGGATATTACCACTATAAATCCCGAGATTGAATCCAAATCTTTGAGTTATGTCCATCCATGTGAATCCAGGATTCAAACAAACATTTTAATGTCCAGACTTAATTCTCTTCAATTTATCCAACCCATTCCTCCATCCCGCACTAAACTATTTTACTCTCTCACAGTATGTAAAAGCTTTATCATAAGCTTGGATTCTAACGTTCTTGCTTCTATACGAATGGCATAATTGCACTAATTTGAGCTAATAATTAGATTCTACTTGGAGTTTTGATCTAATCAAAGCAATCGCACGTTATCAATGATTCTATTGTTTAGGTGGGAAATCAGATAATCAGAATGCCTTGGTACTTTCAAAGTCTTCTATTTCTTAACCACCTCTTTGGAGCCTCTGCAAGAGCTAATTATCCACAAGTTATTCCGTTCCTGTATTGCTATTCAAAGTTGCAGAAAGTGAAAATTGCATTTTGACAGCTAATCATCCTATTGCCCGATTCGTATAAGCTTCAAATTAATGAACTCGTTATGTTCTCTCTTGAAATGAGAAACATTTAGTTTATTAAAAGTACTGAAGAGCGTGGAAGGGGGGGGGGACGATGGAGGAATCTGTGTTTTTGACCATTACCTATCAATGTACATCAAATGCTGTGACTCCGATAAGGGTATCAATTTATTTCAGATATTTTTTTGTTTTTATTCTGCCTTCCCTATTGGCTCTCGTTGGCTATGCTTGGGTATTGTTGAATGCTTCCATTTCGCTTGAGACTCCCTTGATACTTGATGTGAATGTGGAGACTCTGCTTGGACGCTGTTTATAATGACTCCCATATTGTTGTTTTAGGGGTGCAGAACTCCTAGCCTTGAATATCGATGGAAATATGCCCTACGACCTTTGTGATGATGATGATACTCTACTTTTTGTTGAAACAGAAATGGCTAAACGACGTAGGTCCTTTTGTTATCATTTGCCTTTTTTTTAATTAACCCTTACTCACTGAAAGTGAGGATTTATTTATTTATTTATTTTATTTATTTGTTTATTCGTTTGTCACCCCTCCCCCCCCCTCCTAACAATTACCAAAATTTGGGGCTGGGGGACTATTTTTTAATAGGTTACGTGTAGAGAACGCAGGAATGTTTCTTGAGGTAGCAATTCTAGTAGTTCCTTGCTGAGAGTGTCGGTGGAAAGGACTTTTCTCGTTCTCTTTAGTGGGGATATTAAGGCAATTTGCCCAGGAAAGGAATTTTAACACTTCGAGAGAGACAGTGCGAGATCTAATATCTTTGCTCATGAGACACATCACCCTTCTAACCTATTATGACCTTTATCACAACATTTATTTATTTATTCAAATGGCAGGCGTCTTGATGGTTATCATTAGCCCTTTAATTGGCTTCAGGCTTCATATAGGGGAAGGAACATCAAATTGAAAAAAAGTCGAGAGGGGAGGAACAGAATAATGTTTCACAGATGTAAGAGACAGACACAAAGGTAGATGATAGTTTAAGTGAGTACTGTGGAGGGGGTCGAATATGACATACAGTGGGGTGATGGTAGTTTGAAGTGAGAAGTCAACTGCCAGTTAATAGACTTTTTTGCCGTATGAGTATACGTTGCCCGGGGTGCACCACGTGGAGGTAAGTCTATC